TATTAAAAATGTACCCTCAGTTTTACCGTACCATTCTAAAGCATGTTTTCTATCGGTACTCAAATAGAACTTAGCTAAACGTGGCAAGTACTCTCTTAGATCTCTGTATGCGCCATTGATGGGTGCATCTATTTCTAAGTCACTGAGGTACTCGTTATTGATTTCCAAAACATTTCCAATATCAATTTTGTTCAACTCTCTTACAAGGTTATTATATGTTAATATTTTGGGTACCTTGCAGCCTGGAAAAATTGATATGCCCGTTCTCCCACCTTGTTCGCTTGATGTCATTGAAAGCACAAGCCTAACACTTTGATATTTTCTCTTGCCCATGACACCACTTGAGTAAAATGTAGCAATACTCCTTTCCGCATTTTCTTTTGATTTTTCAAAATCTTTCAACTCTTTTTTGTAATGTTCAGAAACTACAGTTTTAGTTAAATTCTCATTACCTAATACATAATTTGTTAAATCTTTCATCTTGCATCGTTTCTGGAGGGTGTCGAACATCCCATCATAAGCAGGCTTTAAATTCTTCTTGGATGCACCATGGATTGCTGATACCGCTGTCATGGTTTCCCGCCTCCTTTTTGTTGATGTTCGAACTGGCATATTTGATACCCCATTCTCCAATGTCGTAGCTTTTCTTGTCCTTGTCTCAGAATTACAGGGCTAACAATACAAATTAATTAGGATCATCAAATGGTCACGGCCCATCTCAAATCCCACTTACCATCACAAACAAATTATACTAGAGGTAATTGAAGCCATTGTTGCCGAGCCAAAATAACAAGGCCAAAATAGTTGAACTGCACAGGCAGGCAATATATTAGCAGTACTGGTATTGTCGTTAATTAAATAATAAAATTGTAAAAAACCTGAAAAAAGTGTTCGAAAATCATAATTGTTTATCTGACGGGGTATTTCTTGCATGAAAGTCCAGAATCTTTTATATCATTACTTAAATTTACAGTATATATTACCTGTGCATGTAAATAGTTGACTGTTATTTAACAAATATAAAACATTTTCCGTGTTGATATACATTTATATCAACACGAGTGGAATTGGGACACGCCCTTCAGGCATCGTGTTTCCATACAATTTCGAGTTTTCCCAACTTCCACGAGTGTTGATATAACTATTTATTTTATTTATTTATTTATTTATTTAGCTTTGCCAACTAGGGCAGGGTCACCACAGCAGCATATGCCAATTACTGTGGGCCCTTTTTACCTAACCCACCCTGTCAACTTTCCCTGTGGGAGGAAACCGGAGTACCCGGGGAAAACCCACGGCTTTCGGCAGAGCGTTGACTATTACTCTTTTCACATGAGGACTGGGTTCGAGTCGCACTGAGAAGGTGCTTGGTGAGATTCGAACCTGCAGCCTCAGAAGTGAAAGGCAAGTGCGCTAACCACTTGGCCACCGTAGCCCCCAAATTCAAATTCGTTTGCGCGCTCCGGACTCGAACTCACGACCCTTAGCGTACACGCTGAGTGTTGTCCCCTTGCGCTACCACCTCTTACTATATATCAACACGGAAAAAATGTTTTATATTTTTTTATAATATAGCAATGTCAAAAGCCCGAAGGATAGGAAAAAATTCCGTGTTTACAAGCGGCGGAAAATTTCCCGTGTTGACATTGAGTTATATCAACACGGCTCTTAGCCAATCAGCGTTCAGAATTTACAAATGCTATATTATAATGTAAATTGTAAAATGCATAGATGAACCAAAATATGCTGCTGTAATTTACCAGTTAACCCATTGAGTCGCATTGCACCCTGATGCACCTTAGTTTAGTATTTTACTCTGTTTAACGCCAGACGATTTTACTCGTCAAGGGGAAAACGCTGGCGCTTAATGTGTTAACTGGCCTATCTGCCCATGTGTCTAGTTAACCCATTGAGTCGCATTGCACCCTGATGCATCTACTTTAGTATTTTACTCTGTCTAATGCCAGACGATTTTCCTAGTCAAGGGGAGAGCGCTGGGGCATAATGGGTTAATGTCCAATATTTTCACCTTGATGAGTAAAATCATCTGGCATTAGACAGAGTAAAATAACAAAATATAGACATATTACGGCTTAATGGGTTTAATCCTACTATACCACATGATTTGATTTGTCGCAGAAACTCACCATATTGTTTTCCAAATCAGATGTCAAAGCAGCTGTTTTTTCCTTTGCTTTTACAATCTGCATAAAGGTAAATGTTTATATTAATAACAAAGTTAAACATTTACTGATAGTAAATAGAATGTTAATATCTGAATAACAAATACATTGCTTAGGTTTCTATACCTTGGCTTGAATTCTCTCGCTTTTCTTGTGCTCCAACGCTAGCGATCGATGATTTAGAACAGCTTTAAACCTTGCTTCTTTCCTTTCTTTCATATACATTGCAATGTTAAAACGTTTATCTTTGGTATTAGGCATTTTCTTTGGAAATCTTTTAAATGCGACTTCTGTGCATCTGCGAATCCTTTATGAATAACACAAGGAAAACAACTAAGTATCAGGTCCTGTTACTCTCAAACGGAGACAAAATTTTACAAACAAAAATCATACGATGCTCACCAGAGGTCTTAAGTTGCTTTACAAATACAATTCTTCAAGGATTGACAAACGATGCCAAATTTTATCCGAGAGAAAACTAGTTGAATTTCACAAACTGTGCAGTATCGTCCATTTTAGTCCTCAAAAAGGCGAAATATTCTATTATTTCCTCGTGGGTTTACGGCCACTATTTGGTATTAAAATGATCCTTGAAGCATCTCCTTTCCATATTTGCTGTTCACTTTCGACCCAGACAATACCATGAGCCTCAGCGAAAGAAAAAACGATGACTAATTAATTCGTTACCATTCTCCTTGGTAAAACACGGAAAATTCGCGCAATTTTTAATGACATGCAAACTGCCGAAAATCATTGCTTGCTGACCCGGCGTGAGAGTGGCATTGTATGTATATGATAATTTAATGCAAATTAAGATCACTCACCTTTCACAACTGTGCAGAGTTCAATAACAATGGCAGGAAAATATATTGTAATTACTGCTGACCAGCCAACAAAAAGCTCATTTGATTCTCAGGCCCCAAACCTGGAAAATGTTATCAAACATCTGGCAAAGGAGTATATTCTTTGTCAAACCCCATGGGCCTGAATATTGGATTAAATACAGGTCGGCATTTATTTTCAAACGAGCCAATTCAGTTTATAACATAGCCTTTTAAAAATACGGGCGCTGATTGGTCAAAAGCTCAAAAAACCCGTGTTTCTATAACTCGATAGAAGCACTGGGAATTTTCATGCGGGTTGTGTGGATTGCACAGGAATTTAAAAGACAAAATACAAACAATATTTAATTTTGAACAGAGTTGAAAAATGTCCTGAAATGCTGAAGAACCGTTACAAAAAAAGAAAGAACCGTTACAAAAAAAGGCAACACTTTGCTAACTTAGAAAGTGAAGACCTAGAGCACAAAGTATAATTATAGCACACATTGTATCTGTTTGACTGTTTACCAAGGTAAGATATTTTACTTTGTCTTTTTAAAAAATTATTTCCTCGCAACGTTTTTAATCATGTTTACTACAGTTTTTAATCATGTCTAAACGTTCACTAACTATTTTATATACTTAGTAAAGCAAGCCTGTTAAGTGCTGTCTGTTGTGTTGACAGTGATATATGTGTTTACTTCGCTATGCTTTTATAATTATTCTTTACACAAACATATATTAAGGTGGAATTAATGTTTGAATGAAAGCAATTAAAATCAATAAATTTATCTTTTCTATTGTTTTTAAAAGGCTATTTAATAAAGGAAATAGAAAACATTTTTTCTGTGTTCCTATAGAGTTTATAGAAACACTTGTGAAAGTTTGGGAGAAACTTGAACTTGCGTGGAAACACTTGCACTTCGTGCTCTTGTTCCCACGCAATTTCTTGTTTCTCCCAAACTTTCATGTGTGTTTCTATAACTCTATAGAAACACAGAAAATGTTTTCTATTTCTTAATTATTTCAGCTTATTTGATAATTTATTTTGACCTTAATGCTTGATCTTAATGCATGACCTTGACCTCTGATCACTTTGAGGATACCACCAAACGAATGAGCATGCTAAAATTAGTCAGAATTCACACCTCATATGCGTTTATATGTCACTTATATCACATTTGTGTCGGTTTTCTTTTATCGTCTGAGGTTTATAACTAGCTAATATACCTTGAATAAATAATTACATCAAACTTTTCAACAAAACGCGAGAATTTTTCATAATTTTTTTTTGAAAATGACAAAATATGTTAGAAAACCTCCACAAATGTGATATAAATCGAACTATAACTGATATATAGTCGGTTTATAACTGATATATTGCCCTCGGACGCTCGGCGTCCTCGGGGGCAATATATCAGTTCTAAACCTCCTTCTTGGTTTATAATTTAACTTACAGTGGCGCCGCCAGGTCAATAATTGGGGGGGGGGGCGAATATTCATATATTTGTGTTCACAGACCATAAAAACAATCGATTTCAAAAGAAGTTAATAATGCAGAACATGAAGATATGAATATTCGCCCCCAGCCCAATTACCGACCTGGCAGCGCCACTGGTTACTTAGTTCGAAAATTAGGTTCATTTGAATACCAGACTGTATGATGGCAGCCATCTTGGATTGGGCCTGAAAGCAAGAATTTTGCATGTGTAAATAAAAAACAGGTTTCCCATGGCCAGATTCGAGTAGGCGTTTTTTGTGTGCATTAATAGTTCCCTAATAAACCTATTTCACTTGAGAAACATTTGTTAACATTTTTGTCCAACCTCATCACTGTAAAAAAATCATAAACTCTACGGCGTTAATTACAGTAATATGCAATTATGAAATTTGTTACTTTTTAGGAGCCTCAGCAAATAACTGTTGGCCACAAATCAGTCGCAAGAAGGTCTGGAACAAACAATGAAAGAGATAATGTATATATTATTGCTTGTGATATTAGAGTGTGAGAGATGGGAGAGTTATACTAGTACTGTTACCACTCAATGGGTTAATATATGTTTTATGTTTCACATATTGGCATTAGACTGTATACATCAATTAAAATTGATAGTCATTGGTAGTCATTTATAGATACGGATTGGCCATCGAAATACCAATGGCTTTATTGAAGACTTTTGTGATGGCCAGTTGTCTAAAGCTCATCCATTGTTTTTTAATGACCCATCTGCATTGCAACTGCTGCTGTATTATGATGAGTTGGAGGTTACAAATCCTCTTGGTAGCAAAAACTAGGTAAGGTTGGACTGTATACTTATCTACATGCTAAAGGTTACAATATTTCTAGGTTTTCAGTGTGTCAAAAGGCATAATCTGTGTATGTGAAGGGCAGGAAGCTTGAAATACCCCCACTCTTTGCATTCCCACTAGTATGCCTTATATGCAGGCTAAACAGGCATTGCGTTAAATTAGTTGGTCCATATAATTAAAAATAACCTAAAATTGCATTTCTATTACTTTGGTGTTATCTACTTAACTCTTGACAATATACCGCCAAAGTACAGTTCTACTCTAAATGCTATTCAACTGCTTGCATTCGCTACATATCCAGTAATTAAGGAATATTGCATTGATACCTTGATGGAGGCAATTATGAATGATCTTGCATATAATGAGCAAGTATGTTACTATATTAATTAAACTTTGGTTTTTTATGAACCGTTGTTTAAATGTGTCAGCAGTATTTTGCTATTATGCTTATAAGGCGAGAGCACTGGTGCTTAATGTGTTAACAATCGTAAATTTAAACAGTCATCTAGGTTTTTTCAACAACAGTTAAACTTAAGTTGTATTACTGTATATTTAAGGATGGTAGTTACCAGTTTATGGCAAAGCATCGACCAGTGTCATTTTCTGGAACAATTGTTTTCGTGTCTGGAGACAACTTGCTCAACTTACACAAAGAGAGTGCAAGTGCACATGTTAAATGTAGACATTGTATGGGAAGTGCAGTTGCATGCAATCACATTGTATCATAGATAAACACTGGTCACACAAAAAGAAAGTTCACCCCTAAATATATCAGCAGGGGTGGATCCAGCCAAAAATCTGACTGTAGCATTTTCAAATTCTGGGAAAATGTTTGAAATTTGAAGCCCGGAAATGCCATTTCCTGCGTTCTGAGCACTGCATGTGACCATTAAATTTGTCCTCATTGTACTGATTTCCCAAGCTAAAATAAGAAAGATCTCAAAAAGTAAAGTATTGCTCGCGTATATCGTAACATATGAAACCGGTATGATACGCATATCATCTACGAACGTGTGTAGCATACCATGGTTAATAGACCTAGATCATACGAAATATGCGTATCATATGAACGTGTGTATCATAGGAATACGCGTATCATACGAAGACGCATTACAAACAAATATTAGGGCGCTATAAAACACAATATACTCGCGTATCATAATTAGCGTATTAATTCTGATACATGCAGGTATACTGTACATACGCGCACAAACGCTTAAAGCGAAGTTAATAGCGAACACTACAGTATAAACTCATTAAAATATTAATGTGTATCTCTTATTATTCATAAGGCTTACCTGACTGGAAATGATTCGTTTTACTATCTGATTTTATTTCTACCTCGACTTATTCATATTCTTTAGCTTTACGACAGCTTTCATTTCGAAATGCGCACAACCGTACTGTGGCTTCCCTTAGCATGTTGCTGAAAACCGAAATATCAGATACTCCATCATTCTGGAGCAGTATCCAATTTCATGCCATCGTAGCAAACTATAGCATTGCCCCATTCTGATTGGTTTGCAATCACAATGCGGTATATGCCATATATATGCCATATATATATGCCGTATATGCCATATATATGCGGTATATGCCATATGCCATCGCTACTGTCAGATTCGACCTTAATGAATACTTCAATAATTTTATAGTGTCAGTTTAGTGTGGAATTGGTGTGGTTGTAATATAAATTAAGGGTTCATACAATCTCATCATGTAAGTTGCATGGATGTACTTGATGGACATTATTGTATGAACGATAAATGTCTTGATGTTGAATGTCTTATCATTCTAAGTTACGTACTTGTGCTTTAAATTAACAATTAAATTAACATTGATTTTCAAGAAACGACGACTTTCAGTTGAATGTGCATGGAAATTCAGAGAAATGATTTGCAGTTGAATGTGCATGGAAATTAGGCATCAGTTTAATTGAAATTATGATAACTAATGGCATGACTCGACTATCTTGGAATTTGCTTAATGACGAAAACAAGTTGTTGAGATGCTAATTTTATAAAAATTTAGGGTTGAATGGAATGCATCACTTTGTTATGGGAATGTTAAAAGCAAAAACAATTTGAAATATATTTTCATTTTCCGTTTTTATTTGAGCAGTTAAGCATCAGAGCAGATTGCAAGTCTGAGGTGTGAAATACTTGTGAAGGCTTTGTGCGCTTGTCGCACATTCCAAGATCTTCGTACAGTTTTTAAAATACATCAGATGACAATTTAGGACAATTTAAAATGCTTTGATACAAGATTCAAAATACAATATGATACAATGATAAAATATGCGCGAAGTTACAAATTTGCGAGGGGAGTCCAAATCCGCAAGCAAATAAAGACCCCCATAGGTCCATATTTGCTTACGGATGTTAAGTTTTTGATAAAGTGATATTAAATGATATATGAAATCTTCCATTGTCTGTATTTGTGATTCTAATTCCTTGACTGTGTTAGCCTTTCTCCTTAGCTTAAAATAACTTTTTAGACAGTTTAACCATGAGAAATATTTGGGATGTTTATCCTACATTCCACAGGAAGTATAGTCGTCGACACACTATGGCAAAAGGCAAGGCTTGTTTTGTTGATTTCTATTCCTCTCGTACGGCAATTACTGCAGATTATTTGTGAAGTTTCAACCACAGGTTTTTCCCTGACATTTTCCACCATAGATTCTATTGTTATTTTAATTTCTCTGTGCTCATCCCTTTCTCTATTTAGTTGCTCTTTTAACTTATTTACTTGCTCATCAAAAGCTGGTAAAACTGCCTAAATGTAAGAATACAGAATTGTAATTTTTTGCTGCTTTGCAAAATGCCAAAACAGCATGAAACTATTCATTCTTGCTCTGTGGATATATGATTATCACTTTTCTGACATGCATAGCGGCATAAAATCAGTAAACTATTTTGTCATCATACCACATATTACAAGGTAAACTGATAAACGTCTATTTTAGAAAGAGTATAATGGTCAGTGGCAGCAGTGAATTTTTTCATTGGCATTGCACTCATCAAATCCACCAATACCTTTTGAATTTTTGCTTTCATTTATTCTTGTCTGTTTCTGACACAAAGGAAGAGGTGACTCATTTCTTAACTTGTCCAGCTGGTAAAGCAAGAGTGCTATTGTACCCAAAGGCAGCTCCCCCAGCACCTGAACATGATATCGACTTCTTTCGCAAAAATTAGTTTGAGTTGAGTTCTTGTTTTGAAATTATTGTTTGTAAGTCTTCCTTAAATTATTTGACACAATGCAAGATCTTCAGATGCAGACATGTTTAGTTCGCATACATGAATTTAACATGCCAGAATCTGTTTTATAAGCTATACTTCTTGAATGCCGAAGTTCATGCATTTCAAAGTTTGGAAGTTCATTTTGAAGTTCGGAAATTCAAACCGAACTTTGTTGCCAAGTCTGGAAGTAAGTACATCAGCAAACTTCGGAGCTTTGCAACCAACTTTGGAGAAATTTGGCAAAAGTTATGTGAAATCAACTGTAATCCTCTTTATAAACACCTGTATTCTAAAAGCTCAGTCACACTAAATGAGTGGAAGTTCAATCTGAGCTTCTCTCAAGTGTCATTGCTGTTTTTGAATAGCTGGAGGGTTAGTATCAGATTCTCAATCAAACAGCTACACTTTGGTTTAGCGTAGACATCTCACAGAAAACTGCCTTCTGTGACTTTTGCGGCAGTTTTTCCTTTTTCCCCATTTTGAATACAATTCTCGTCTATTCAGGCCTTAAAATATCTTTTACAGGGCCGTCTGACAAAATGTTCGATGACATTGAGTTTGGGTCGGACATGATGACCTTCATGTTCAGTTTTGACTTGGAAATAAGTCTGAATGACACAAATGAATATCAGCACAATGTATTGATTCTGAACGGTAAATGTTGTGAAGATATTAAATAATTTGTGTCATATTTATTTCCAAGCCAAAATTAACTTGCTTGCAAGAACAACAGTAAGACTTAAGTAAGACTTCACCATTTCGCTCGCACTTCGCCGCCCCGCGCTAGCAACGATTAGCTACGTTAAAACAACATTTCCAGTTCATTTTTTATACAATACTCAATAGTCTTCTGATTTTCCATTTAACATACAAGCCTTACTGCTGATTGATTTACATTGGACAAAGCTACAGTTAGGCTGGACACCAATACACTCGGGTCGGACAAACAGTAAACCTCTCCTTCCTCTCTACGTTGGACAATTTCACGAATGGGTCGGACAATGTCTGACCAACCGATATTTTAAGACCTGCCTATTTGAGAAAATACTAGTCCACAATTGTGTTAAAAATACTTGCCGATTTATTAATTTTTGAAAACAATGAGATAATTCAGGGTTCGTACAGGCCCTTAAAAACCATGGAAGTTCTTAAATTTGCATCTTACAAAATTGAGTGCTCAAAAGTCCTTAAATTCTGATAAATTCCATGCTGGTCCATGAAAAGTCCTTAAATTTAATTTAAAGCTCCCTGTCAATAAAAATCTAATTTTTTAGTATGGCACAAAAAATATAATTAATTGTATTACAACATTTAATGTTCGTAATATTGTGCGTTTGTATGGCTGCGATCGGTGCTTGTATCACAGTTGTTCAACAGGCTTCTCAAGAGTTCATGACAACAATCACGTGTCTGTGCCCCACCCTCTTTGTTTCGTGAGTTATGCACGTACTGTACTCCGTAGTTTTGACTAATGTTGTGCAAATTCGTAAATTTCAATGTATATTTTTCTTGGGAAAGCATTTTTTCGATATAATACCTTTGTACAATGCAAGAAGTGTTCTTTCCACGCGTCTTGGCAAGCGTAAATTCAAGAAATGATTGGCTAGAGTACAGGGAGACACATTATTTAGTGCTGCATGCAAAATTTGTAGAAAAAATTTCTGTTGCAAGTCTTGGAGTAACTGCAGTTAAAAGCCATGCCAATGGCACGAAACACAAACAAGGTGAGCTTTTTTAGTTAGTTTCAAGAGCTATGTCAAACAGCTACTTCTTAATCCAAGTTTAAATTATCTGATTATATTCATAAATGCCTTTTCATGTGGAAATTCGATGGAGATGGTAAAATTAAAAAAATAATTTAATCAGGAAATTTAGAATATGTGGAAAATCTGTGAAAATTTTCAGAGGACAAGAAGTAAAGTAATTGTCTCCACAGTAGGAAGGAGGGGCACGTTGGCTAATAATATGCAATCAGTCAATGACAAGCAAGCTGGAGCAGAGGCTATATATATTTCTCGATATATGAACAACCAAAATTGAAAAGTGCTGGCAAGGGTTTTGTATGGTTGGTATTTTAATGCTGCTGATGGAGTATAAACTTTTCCATGCATGTTTATTTTTAGCAGCAACGAGAACAAATGCCCACATTTCTGTATCTGGATTCTTTACGGAGGCATCTCATCTCCTGTGTTGCTGACACACCTACAACTTCTCCTCCAACACTTACAAGTTTATCCCAGAACTGTTCATCCAATAGCTCATCACAAAGTTTGTCTTCTATGGATCAGTTTGTAACAAAGAATGATGTATTAAAGGCAGAGGTACTTTGGGTATTAAAAATCGTGACCTCTCATTTCTCATACAAATCTTGTGAGGGATTGAACAGTTTGTTTTTTAAAATGTTCCCAGATAGTAAGATTCTGAAACTTTAACATGTGGTGAGTCTAAAGTGTGCATGTATGTCTCTATTTGGACTTTGGACTTCGATTATAAAATTGTTCTGTATTTTGCTTCAGTACATGTATTGCTGTGGTTGTTGTTAAAATAATGTATTATGCTTTATATTGTTTACAGGTGTTGCCTTTTTCATAGTCGATTGTAGTATTTTTGACATGAATGTCCATACAATTGGTCCTTAAAAATGCTAATTTACACCATGAAAAGTCCTTAAAAAGTCCTTAAAATCCATGCTGAAATTAGGGTACGAACCCTGATAATTATTAACATAACAAATTATAAACCGAAGTTAATTATTAAAGGTTTGCACAGAAAAAGTGGGGTAATAAATATGCCCACAACTTAGGAATTAATAACTAAACTAATTTACATATGTAATGTTGCATCAAGTAAACAGGGAGGAGAGTGGCTTATCAATTGACTTCAGCCAGAGAGTTGACCTTGTGCAACCAGATTGAAGAGCAGAATGAACTGATGCACATACTGATGTAGATTATATCATAGTTAATAGGGGGCATGGTTAGGAAAGCCAGCAATCTTCAAAGGGATCGGGATTTCATGTCATTGTTTCAATTCAGGGTGAGTTACATGGTATTAACCCTGCACATTTCAGAAGCAAATATGACTTCTGGTTGTGTTTCAAGTTAAATAATTTCGTATTTTGAGAGAGATTAAAAACACATTAAGTTATGCCAAGGGAGAATTGTTCTGTTTATGACGAACAAAAGGCATGGGCATATTTAAGCTACCCGCCGCGAAAAATGAACAGTACAAGAAATGGAGAAGAGGATTGGCTTGGTTAAATCCTGCGAACTTGAGTTGTAGATAAGTCGTGCAGAATGCAGATAAAAGAAGATTCGGTATACACCTGTGAAAAACACTTTCGACCTGACGTCAAGAGCTGTCAATAGTATATGAATGTTTCTTGTGATGTAGTGAATTGTACATAATTATCTGTTTATCATATGACATTTATATTGACGTCTTTATTACATTTACTAGCCTTTTCAGGACTGTTCGCAGGCTAACAATTTACATGCAACCTTTATCTAAATATTTGTTGTTTTATTACAGTTCATCTGAGAAAATGACCAAGAAAAAGCCTAAATTTGGCGTGCTGCCAGTTCTAAACATGCCAAGCAGAAGTTATGAAAAAGAAACGAAACTGGAAAGGCCATCAAGGGTAATAGTCAAAGAGCAAGTAATGACAAAAAAACATGTATACTACAAACACTTTTCAGATTTTTGTAATAGAATAACTCAGCTGAAAAGTCTTACCGAGTGGAGTGTCGAAAAGACTAATAACAGGGTTGTCTTCAGAAAGCTTAATCCATCTTTGCTTTTAGCAGAATATGAAATCATAGCAGATGATAGCCTTGGATTTACTATTATAATTCTAGGTTGGCTTGTGCCAGAAAACCATTTCTTTACACAAGGCACCTAAGGTCTGTTAGATATATCACTATTTCCGAGTTGATTAACTTAGTTAAAACACTTTCAGTTTGCCGAGGAGTTGGTGATGTTGATGCTTTATTAGAAGTAGTTCACCACGTAGTTCCTAAAGTGTTTAAGCCTTTAATGTCTGAATGTAGTTTCCAGTCATTGAACTTTTAAAGACTGCTTGGTACTTCATGTTGGCAGTCAGTGTGAATCATGCAAATCTGTCAACAAAGCATATTTTAGAAGTATTATTTTTCCTCTATAACGACATCATATCAGCATACGCCCAGAAAATAAGCCGAAAATACATGCACTTCATTCATTCAATGGTTCGATCATTATGCGTACAAGGCGGGGGGAGTGGTGGCAGGGAGGAGGCAGAGGCACACCCCTAGAAAAACTGACAGGTCGATAAGTTGGGCAAAAATGGAGGAAATGAATTGATAGCGAGCTTCACATCGTCTTAAAACGGACATATCAGCAATAATCCAGTCTAGCTTTCCTTATAAATACATTGTTTAATAGCAGCACAGCACAAAAACCAGACTATTCCTAACCCTAACCTGCGAACAGGTATGCTCAGCACGAGGTTGCAGTATTAGGCGCATGTTCTATTGTATGTCAAGTAAAGCGTGGCAAGTCATTGTACAAAGTAACATAGTTTTAATAATATATCACTGTATAAAATTATCGTCTTTCATGAATTTGAACTGATTTAAATTATTATAAGCATGAGTAAGTTTTTATTAATAGTGATTTTTTATCATTTGAGTTAGAGTTTCGAAAAGCCAGAGTTTCTATTGATCGGAGCCATGACAGTCGCATCATGTTTTATGGGACCGGACAGTTTCTTTGAAATTCGGGAGCGCCATGCCGAACAGTGCAATCTATTTTCGCTGTGTTTGTGTGAGCCTGGGACAGGGAAGACACAGGCATACACGCTTGTAGTTGAATCGCCTTTAAAATGCATCCCATCACGAGTACACACCCAAAGGTTTATTTGACCATCTGCAGACATGTGGAAGAGCCTTGCTGTGCCACGCAGAAATGTCCAGCTTTTATGAAACTTTAATAAAACGTCAAACCGAGGGAAACAGAGAGCGTCAGCTTTTTTTCCGCCTTCACAATGGAGATACTGACATACGAACTGTCCATGGGCATGGTAACTAAAAAAATCCCTGATCCGCTGGTAATAAGAAGGATGAACCGGGAAGATCAGTTTTGGAAAAAAACATGTCGTCAGCCATATCTGTATCTATATCGAATGCTTGGTGTGTTGGATGACGGTTTCTCAGGCCCGGTTTAGACGGCGAACTTCTCATGCGCCGAACCTAATTGTCATAGATACGGCAAAATATCGGAAACTGATTTAGACGTCGAACTTAATTGCACCGTACTAAATTGCGAAGACATTATATTGGAAATATTTACAATGCAAATATATGATAATCATATTATGATGTTAAAAAATAATTATGTATTAGGTTCGGCGCATGAAAAGCATGGCGTCTAAATCAATGTCGAACCTGTGTCGCATATACGACTTGTCTTGTCGCATCTTCGAGTCATGTCGAACTTAATCAAAACCTGTCGAACTTAATTGATTTAGACGCCGCTCCAGCGTCGCACTTAATTCTTCCATTAGATTCGGCGCATGAGAAGTTCGCCGTCTAAACCGGGCCTCAGATCGCATTAGCACCTGCATAGTCAAATCTGTCATACTAAGAGAAAAAGAAATCGAAGAATGGAATGAAAGGTTGAATGTGTTTGCAATTTCTCAGTTTGATGGTGAGTTAAAATATCAGTCCTTAGATACAGATTGGAATTACTTTGAGGTTAATTTCGTCTCATAATTTTTTAACTTTCACATTTTTCCTATACAGTTGTCAATTATATACTTTAACTTATTACAGTAAGGATCACAATTTGCATGTTGCAGGCTACTTCCGAAGTTTGATTACAGTAAATTTATAATAGCCATTGTGCAAGCTACATACATATTTGTGGGGGTTTAGGGGTTTTTAACAAAAAGCCAGCAAAAGTTTTAAATAGACTCAAGTCCACAAACTAAAAATCATTATTATAATATTACAAACCTGTACTGTAGCATTGTATATTTAATTGGCAAACCAAGTTTATAATATACTCTAAAGGCCCTTTACACTTGCAATTTTTGCATGAATCAAGCCTGCCCACTTTGCAAACTTTGCTGTTTGTCTCACAGTAAAGCGGGCTAGCCCGACCCATGAAGTATCCCCTGACAGAATATAATAGTGAACTACTTTGGATTCCTAATTTGTTCATTTTTTTACATGCAATTACATTTGCAATTTTGCAAAACTCTGCAAATCCCTTAGAGGAAATTGCAATCGAGATCCGAAGCTAAGCGTGTACACGTGACCACAAACATGTTTTGCACACAAACATAGAAGGTTTATATGGAGGCGAGCCAGCCAGGCTCTGTTGTAAATAAAATTGTTGTAAATAAAATTTTCTCAACAAATTTCGATGATCTGTTAATGCTGTAGGTCTCGGTGAGCGATTGTGGGTTTTAAAAAAGTATAACAGGCTAACAGCGAAAGTATGAATTTCAGGCTCGAAAAAGCGAGATATCTTGGTTTCCTGTTTAATTTTACATGTAATATTGCCAAACTTAAAAGGCGATTACTACCCTTAATCAGCATAAACTTGTAGTCTAGTTGCTGTAACTAGAATATAAAGGTCGTGTCGTGTCACCCATCATCTTTTATGTCAATATGCCATTACAAAATGCTTTCGCTTGGAACTTTTACGATGCAGTTCAAAACAATTCAAAACAGTAACAACAACCCAACTACAAACAGCATATAGAGTCATCGATTACATGTTGAAACTGATCGTATTATGTGAGAAACTTGGTGATTTGAACGAGATATATTCGAAACGAATTTAACAACAAGTTTAGCTGGATTTATAGTATATACTATCGTTTGCCAAGCAAATAGGTAGCATGAATGTCAAGAATGTTTATTATTGAGACAGTACTATGATATAATACTGTACAATGCATTTTTACATTAAGGATTTTACATTAAAGGAATAAGTGACAAACAAGTACCTGAAAGTAATACAACTTCCCTTAATTCATCGCGAAGTTAAAAATAAACGTAAAAGCACATATAAATTTATATGTAATTTTCCCGACGACTGGCTTTTGTCTTGTGCTAGGCGTAGGCCTAGGAAGACTTGAAATACGACTCTTTGTTGAAATGTCGTCTTGCTGACTAGCTCTGTGAATAAAAATTTTGAAGTTTGTAATGCCCTGTCATCCAATTAAGCTGAAAAATACACCATTTCCTGATTGATAATAAAATTAAATATGCTTGTACTGGGAAAACCCTCAACAAGTTTTTAGCATTCTGGTTGGTTCAATACCTTGGATCCCTTATATGGGCTTTCGACCCCTTTTGGGGCATCATAAACCTCTGCCTCACAAGCAGGGCTCTCACTTCTAAGGATTTTTCCTTAGAGATAGGAATTTTGCAAAGTTTTAAGGATTTTTCTAAGGAATTTCCAAGATTTTGAGCGACACTTCAGAAAAATGAGTATGCTCTCTTTAAACAGTGAAATGTATTTACAAATAGCAACATAATTACACTTTCTTGTTTGCTAAACCTAAACTTCACTTAAATGTGTTTTTAGTGTTTGTACAATGCCACATTAACAAAAAATGCAAAAGCCTTTACGAGAAAAATAGTGTTAATCCATCATTTGTAGTTTGCCGGTTATTAAGCGCAAAAGATGCTTTTTATAAAACCGACTAAATTAGTAAATGATAAAATTATAATATACAGCGAAAAAACGGGATTAACGGCCAATCAAGGGGCACTTATAAGGATAAACAGGTCATTTAAGGAATTTTCAGGAAATCTGAGGAATTTTGGTGCTCACACAAAGGAATATCAAAATTTGGTTGTGAGAGCACTGCTCGCAGGGTTAGTTTGTTGCAAACTTGCCAATTACGTTATCGAGTTCGGAAGTTGGGCACAAAGTTCATTTTCGATTGTAAACAAAGTTCGAACTTCGATTGTAAACAAATGTAAAAATTTTATTTATAAATTTATTTAAAAAGGCATTTTCGTCTTGGGAGACCACTGCACTGGACCAATATTTTACTACAGTATGTGCATAGGGTCTTGTACAGTAATTTCAACTTCAACTACAAACATTTGTTTACAATCGAAGTTCGATCTTTGAAATGAACTTGCGAACTTCGTTGCAAAGTTCAGGATACACACAGAACATGGACCATGGGTCCATGGACCACCCATGGACCTAGTCCATGGAACTCGTTTGACTACCCCGTGGACCACCGTATGGACCGCCTCTTATTTTCCATGAAGGCCAACTTTTAGTTTTGTGTAATGAAACAGTATCTAATTACAACTATTACAGCCTTTTCCCATATGTATATTACTAGCCATTAACCCATTTAACAGATCTAATGGACCCCTCTAATAACCCTTGTGGACCCGGTCCATGGACTTCCCTGCGGACCACCCCTTATTTTCCAAAGTTAATGCCAAATTATACTTTTGTGCAGGATAAAATCACAATTCACAAGTATCACAATCTTTTCCTATTAAACTAGCCATTAAACCATTTACAGTAACAGATTTAAATGAAGATCAAGTTATTACTATCGGACCATGGACTGGGTCCACAAGAAAGGTCCAAAGAAAATCCATGTTTTGTATGGGAATCACGAAACATCTAGTTTGGATCCGAGTTCGGGTCAGAGTTTGAGTTGGACTTCTAGTTAAATTTCGAGTTAATTTTATTTATTTGAAATCATTTCCAGTAGTTTCCTAGCCTGCGAATACAGACGCCTCACATCGGGCGAAATGTAGCGCCCGAGGGAGACGTCTGCGATTTAACTGTGAAAATTCCATACCGATGACGTAGCCAGTGTGCATATATTATAATTTAATATCAAAAACATTTGCATAAATTTTCAATGGCGGGCTTCCAAGCGTGTCAAATTACTGTTACTTAATATGTATAAATGTCACATCTGAAAGAAACCGAAAACTGTATATTGTGTGGGAGTAAAGTTCCAAGTGTTGGTCACAGTCGTTTTTATGTGAGGCATGACGGAAGTACTAAACTTTCGCAGGTTATTTCTGAACTACCAACTAATCTGCATCGAAGATTACAAATTGACTGGTCTTTAAGGCAATTTTGCTGTAGAGACTGTAAAATATTATTAGAAAAACGACAGAAGGTCAGTGCAAAAGTTGCACAAATCGAAGCTGATATACTTAATCGTATAAATGTATCAAAGGGAACTTGTTCAAAAAAGCTTTCATATGATTGTGACCCAGCTATTAATACCAGCACGCTAAAACGTACGGATGTTATTTTACAAACTACTTCACATCCAGTTCCACCTGTTTCTCCAATTCAACCAATTTCGTCAAAACGTCTTTGTGATCGAAGTTGCCAAACTCAAACTACATTCCAAAGTCATGAACATGGTCACGAGGATTTGGGTTGCAAGGTAGGAGTTCGTATAAAATTTATTATGGCATTTCATACTTTTTAATAATTTAACTAAAAACACTCATGAGGATTAAGTACCAATATTAATTTATAAAAAAACGGTACATGATATATGTAGGTATGTATATGATGGTGCCAATGCTATATAATATTAATTGTATATTTATTAATTTATACTGTCAGATTATTGTGTCTTGGCCATCACAACAGAGACAGCGCAAGTTAAATAAATGCCTTGAACCACTGGCGAAAGCCATGTTGCGTGGGACTTGGTGTGATATTGCATGAGCTGTATTTAAGGTAACAAATTAATGCTTATATTTAACTTTTTAAATGAATATTTTAAATTAAGCAACAATGTATGGCTTGGTCGCATGCCCTGTAATATGTATAATACTTTCCACATTTTGATATAATTATGCATGCACCCATGTCTGCATGATCTTTTATATTTGACATGATTGTTTTCTTTTTTGGCCATTACCTGTCACAGACAAATAACGTCTTCCATGGTTTTGGTTTGGTTTAAAGCCTAGTTTCCATTTGGTCGTTAGTTGTCGCTGGCACGACAAGTGGCTGATGTAATAGAGTGCCAACAAAACTTTACAAAACTCTGCAATCATTAAGACTGATTTGCATATAACACACACAAAGATTATTATGATATTAGACTATTTCACATATACTGCCTGTTGTACCAGCGACAATTAACGACCAAATGGAAACTAGGCTTAAGAGTTCAGCAGGCTGAACAATGCATATTAATGTATTTGAGAATGGTTTCTGTTACATTATATACTGGTATAAATAAGCACTTTATATGATTAGTATTTGTTAGCCTTTGAATACAGATCTGAAACAAGTTGTTCATAAGATGAAATTTTTATTGGATGGATAACATATGTTGTGTAAACTAACTGTGTTATTTGTTGATAAACTTTGTTTTCTATTATCTTCATACAGGTCAATGAGATCAGGCATGAGTTGCTTACACTTTTCACAAAGGCTGTTTCTGTTGAGTGTTCTTCTATGACATCACTAAATAACCCAACTATCCTCAAAGATGTAACAACGGAAGGGATTAGATCACTTACTATAACAAAAATCATTAAGGAATTGAAGGAGAGAACTCCAATTCTGTATTCTACATTGGTATCAAGTGCTGTGTCAACAAGAAGTAAGAGAGGGGATGCTGATATAATACCTGGTGTTGCTGTTGCAGCATTAATATTACTTAAAAAAAGATGCCGAAGAGCTACTGGTCTCCAACTGATGATTACAACTATCATAAAATATTCTGGATTCAATGTAAGTGTCAATATTTATAAGTATTTAATTTAAGCAACTAGTGTGTAAATATATACCATATGGTACTTTACTATTATTTTCCACAAATTGGTTACAAATTTTTTTGTAACCATGACACAACCAATTACTTCAGTCTTGAGAACAACAGCTACTAAACCACTGGTAATAAATAATGCATTTGTTTTCTTTTTTCTACTGCAGTCGATGTGTGCATTCCTTTCTGCCTTGCAAATTGGTGTTTCTGCATCTTATTTCAACAAAAAATGTGACGAGTTTGGTTCTAGCTATAATGAAAGGCTACTGGCAGATAAAAGTAAAGAGGAACAGGCCCTGAGGAGACATTATTATGAAGACATTGGAAATGGTGATTTTGGACCTGGTTGGAAAATAGTTTTTGATAATTTTGATATGTATCAAAGAGTTCACGATATGACTGAAGATAATCAAAACAAAGATATTCATTGGGTGAATCATGTCAAAGTTTCAAACAGAGTTTCTGGGAATGAGTTACCAGATGATAAACCAATCAAGAATTGTCTTTCTGATCTTGACAACTCTAAAGTTGCACCATCTGCAATAGAACATATCTGTCAACGTGCAAACTATGTAAATCTTGTTTCAAGGGTATTGGTGGAAGAAATTCCATGTTTGCAGTTCTGTAAAGACAGCATTTTATACCATATTCCTCATAAGCATTCACTTGAGGCTGCAACAAAATCAGAAAAGGTAAATATCCATGCCACAGTGTCAGACTGTTACTTTACAATAGGTTGAAATTACTGTCACAAAATACTTGCATGTAATAAAACTGGCAAAAAAATATATGATGCATGACAAGACAAATAATTCATTCCATTTATAATAGATACATTTTAACTACACTTCAGTCATTAGTGCATGAACAATCAAAAGTAGACCATCAATTAGTAGACCATCAAAATTTGTTAAAAGTGAAATATAAATGATATATTTGTTTGAATAATCTTTCTCTTTTATACTTAGGAGTGCCTGGGAATTATTTAGGAAAATGAAAATACAACCAAAGAATGCTTGAAACCCTGAAGTCAATGCATTCTTATGTTCCACGTTGGACTTCAAAAGAAAATATAACCCATTTTACAGACATTGGGCATGTTGGGGACCAACTTACAGTTGAAAGATCAGTTAATTGTCTTATGGCAGTATCAAATGGGTTTACTGCCACTGAAAGGCTTGAAGGCATTTATTTTGAGATCGCAGATTGGCATGCAGACTTAAAATTCCTAGATGTATAGTACATCTAATTTTCTTACACAAATTATCAAATGAATTGTTCATCTGGGGGCAATGCAGTTTTAAATATTGGGAGTGGCTAAATTATAAATTCTCCAACTTTGTATTTCGCCCTAATGTAAAAAAAATTCCATCGTGAAACACCCCCCCCCCCTCCCAATTATTATACATAACAAGTTTACATGGGTGCAGGGAGGGGGGGAGGGAAGGGGAGCAGGGAAGGGGAGCAGGGATGGGGAGCAGGGACAGGGAGAAGGAAGGGGGGGGGCAGAGAGGGGGTCAAATTGCCATGGGTCCCAACTTGAAAGAGAGAGCCTAAAATTGAGTAGGTTCGTTAAATTTGTCAGTCTGTAGCTAAGGTATATAGTTGGGTGAATGACTTGGGTAGAAATAATGATGTCATGGGGCCCCAGAGAAGATTTTCCCAGGCCCTGTGGATTCTCTCAGCAGCCCTGTGTGTTTCATTATGACTGTCTTGTAAATAATGTTCTGCTCCTTATTGTATGACTTATATACTATTGATTATTTTTAATCTCTTTTTATAGTTGATATACAAGCGGTTCTATTCCACTTCATCTGCCAACGATATATGCACACTTTTTGCTGAAAGAAATCTAATTAACAGGAGAAATGTCAAGACTGATAGACATAGACATAGATACTTTATTATAGCTCCCTAAAAAGGGCTCTTCCGCTACAATTGATAAATACAATATATAAATAATATCTAATTAAAAACAAATTAACTCAATAAGTTCTTTCTGAGTTCATTTCGAAGTCTTTTCTTAAAAAATCTAGTGTTCTCAATTTCCTTAATATCAAGAGGCAGTTCATTATACAGTTTTGCCCCCCGATAGGAAAACATTCTTTGCCCAGTTGCAAGCCTACATTTGGGCAAATTTAAATCATTACAATATCTAGTCGATCTGCTATGTATGGCAGAACGAGGCATAAACTTATCGGATAAATATGCTGGTACTCTGCCATGAAGGCATTTATGGACCATAACGGCATCATTTAGGAATAGTGTGTCCTTTACATTGAGCCATTTCAAAGATTGTATGCCTTCAGAAATATGGTCATATTTCCTGAGTCCCAGAACAATTCTTGCAGCAAAATTCTCACAAATTCCCATCATTCTTACGAGGCAAACTCACATATACTTCTCTTCCCGAAATAAACGACTACAAAGCTTCAAACTGTTTTTCTTTTAAATATTTAATGCCAAATGAAGGAAGCAGAGAGTCGACACACTTGTGAAGTTGTTCACGCGTTATTTCATTACATTCCGCCATTTTAGATTTTATTATTTTATGTCTTGTTTATATGCATAATTATCTATTAGCCAATCAACAGCAGTGTCCATATTTTGCACACTGGCTACGTCATCGGTATGGAATTTTCACAGTTAAATCGCAGACGTCTCCCTCGGGCGCTACATTTCGCCCGATGTGAGGCGTCTGTATTCGCAGGCTAGTAATTTTGTATTCACGAGATTTCTTGTAGATTTCACATCACTTTTGACTGCGTGCATTTGGAATTTTGGGCATTATTTTTGCAATTTATTGTAAACAACGATTATAAGAAGAACGGATAAATTACAAATCAGCCGTAATCGTCATAAACCTCGATGACCACCAGTGTTTTTGTGTTTGACAATTTATATTTCATTAGATATTTATATGCAAGGTCAGTATGTTTACGGGTTATCATATAAAATGATCATTCTAATGAATGAATTGATAAAACGAATTATTTCTATTAATTAATATGTACAGCCGCGTTTTTTACACGAAGCGAAACGTTTAGCTTGATTGTTGAATAAATCGAGCTTAACCACGGTTTAAGCTAAACGGGCTTGATACAACTGGCCCCAGATAAACATTTTTGTATTATCGAGATCGAAACTATAGTAAATTGGAAACCGTGTCAATAATAAAAAACGTACAATGAACTTATGAACATGCGAAAATTGTAACGCCCAAAATTTATACAAATTTTTAAAAATTTGTATAAATTTTGGGCGTTACAATTTTCGCATGTTCATATGTTTATCTGGGGCCGAGTCTGGGGCCAGTTGATCAAGCCCGTTTAGCTTAAACCGTGGTTAAGCTCAAAACAGAAAGCAACTAAGCAAGTCATCGATTTATTCAACAATCAAGCTAAACGTTTCGTTTCGTGTAAAAAACGCGGCCGTACATATTAGAAATAATTCGTTTTATCAATTCATTCATTAGAATGATCATTTTATATGATAACCCGTTTATACTGACCTTGCATATAAATATCTAATGAAATATAAATTGTCAAACACAAAAACACTGGTGGTCATCGAGGTTTATGACGATTACGGCTGATTTGTAATTTATCCGTTCTTCTTATATTCGTTGTTTACAATAAATTGCAAAAATAATGCCCAAAATTCCAAATGCACGCAGTCAAAAGTGATGTGAAATCTACAAGAAATCTCGTGAATACAAAATTACTGGTGCTAAACAAATAACTCTGAAATGTCGCCTTCCCCCCTAAACACGTGATAAGTCAATGCAGCCATCTACTTCCGGCTGGTCGAAATTGACCAGCCGGAAGTATGTCTGCTTGCCAGATGTTACAAGTCTCTCTTCTCTTTCCTCCTCTCCCCCTCAGCGGTACGTCATGTAACGTACAATATAGATGTACAATATATAGATGTCCACAAAGAGAGACTTGGAGCAAGTCTACATTCGGAACACTTGACATCACGTTCGCAATACAGATTTCAGTAATGTTGACGCATGCGCAGGCGTTTTTCCGCGGTGTTCATTCAGCCATATTCTAAAGTGTTTCAAAGCTATTTTCTAAATCCATGTTCTATAGCTTTGTTTTAAAATTAAAGTCACTTAAAAGCCATGCATATATATGTTCTAAAGTCTTGTCTCGGTTTATCATCAGTGGCAGCAGAAAAAACCGTGCGGGCGGGCTGATTGTTTAAAAAAATTTTACGGAATCATATTTAGTTGGTGCACGGAAAAAATATGCTCAAACACGCAGAACAGTTGTATGGTATAATATTTTCAATGCCATTACACTTTTCATTAATATTACAATTGCCAAAAATTGCCAAGGCCCAAGCGCAATATTATACACGTTGTCAATATGAACTCGTGTTTTCAAAATGGCCGACCATCGTGAAAATATTGTGTGGGTTCATCGCACGGTCTGCTGGAAATAGTGATTTTTTAAAAATAAAAAAAATCAATAATTTTCGATAATTTCTTGATATGATCTCATGATCTGTGATATATAATTAAATTCGATGTACATATTCATTCAAACATGGTTACCAATCTGTGGCATGGTAGAAAACGCGGATTGCGGAGTATAATCGACGTTTTCCTCACCTGTCAGTAATTATCCATTGATTTAATGATTTAATGATTTAATGATTTAATGAGATTCGGCTAATACAGTGCCAGGGAGTTCGCCACAGGTTTCCCCAATTACGACGACCCCATAATTAACGTTACGTTTACAATAATTTTAACAGTCGAAACGAACTAATTTAAGACAAAGTACAATCGGTGCAAGAGACAACTAACAACAACTTAAAACACCGTCAAGGGACCTAGCCCTTTTACATTTAACGCACACAGATTTCCAAGTTCGTGGATCGTCATACTTATAAATATTAGATAGCGCGTATTTGTAGTACGTCTTTAGTCCAGATTTGAAAGCTTGAAGGCCAATATCTCTATTACGGAGGTCACTATTTAAAACGTTCCACGTTTTACACGCTCTAATAAGATATGAAGACTGGTATGTTACAGTTTTAGCAAAGGGTATTACAAATCTAATCACGTTATCATTGGTTTCACGTCTGGTTTTTCCTGATTCAGCTATTATTGGTAGAGCACTCTCATCAATATAGGTATAGTTGTTAATTAACTTATAGATGTAAAACCATGTCCAAATATTCATGCCAATAAGCTACTGGTAATAACTCCAGTTGATGTAATCTAGTTATGTACGAGACATCTGTGGTAAACCCAAGATTTAAGATGTATTTCGTTGCTCTTCTCTGCACCTTCTCGATGTCTTCGATTAACTTAATGGATTGTGGGCACCATACTTGGGATGCATAACCAAAATAGATATGAAGACTGGTATGTTACAGTTTTAGCAAAGGGTATTACAAATCTAATCACGTTATCATTGGTTTCACGTCTGGTTTTTCCTGATTCAGCTATTATTGGTAGAGCACTCTCATCAATATAGGTATAGTTGTTAATTAACTTATAGAGTAAAACCATGTCCAAATATTCATGCCAATAATAACTAATTTAATTAATGGGTACAATTTAGTGTTCTGTACAGGGATGTAACGAAGCATCTGAAGTTGGGGGGGGGGATGTCGGAGGATTTTACTTAAAATTTGAACTTCAATGTTAAAAATTAATCTGAAGTGTTAATTATCATAGGCGTACGGGAAGAAAAAAATTGGGGGGGGGGGGAGGCAGAAAGAAATTTGCCCGACTTTTTCGGATTGTGCCCGTGTAGTGTTGGAAAAAATTTTTTTGGCGACCTCCCCCCCAACCCCCCCCCCGGTCGCCAAAAAAATTTCGGTCAGTGTGCCATTTTAGGGGTTAAAAAATATTTTTCGGACATACCAAAATTTTTCGGAACCTCAAACAAACTTTCCCAAAAATCGAAAAATTTACATATTTCCAAAAAATTTTACAGAATGTTTCCCATTTATTTTTATAATAACCAAATACTGCCCGACTGTGAAGGGAAAATTGCCCAACTGGCTTTGTTTGTCCAACAAACTGGGGTTATTATTAAGAGAGATTTTCTTGTTTTGACTACTTTTTGCCCGACTTTTGCCCGACTTTTGCTGAACATTTGCCCGACTTTTCGACTTTCTAATCTTGTTGGGGGGGGGGGCAGCTGCCCCCCCCCTGCTCCCCGCCCCGTACGCCTATGTTAATTATAATAGAGGTTTTTTTCTGATTGACTCCACTGTCATACAAAGTTTCCAAAGAAAATGCGGATCTTCTGGGGGTCCTCTCCCAGAATTTTTTTATTTTTTTCGTATACTATGCCCCTGCATGTGTCGGAATTGCTTTAAAAGTTGGACATGAAGCTACGTACAACCAACGTTAACCTCGTACCCAGGGCTTCTGCGCTTATTGCTCTCGGAAGCAATAAACGCAGAAGCCCTGGGTACGAGGTTGACGTACAACCACATAGTACAATTTAGCGTTGTAAAAAATAACAGTCTTTATCTTTTCATATAGTTCTTCAAATAACTGGTAACTAGGAATTTGAATTTGTTAATTGAAATGTATAGTCAATAAATACTTATAATTGTAAGCTCTACAGTCGACTAAGTTATTTTAGTTTTAATCATTACTATACTCCGCACTCCGTAATCCGCGTTTTCTGCCCAATCTGTGACATAATCATAGGGCCCAAGCCCCCAGCGTGGTCAGTTAAAAGCCCGCGAAATTTTAGAAACTAAAACATAATGGCTTGTAGCCGAGCTTTGTAGTAGATCTTTAAACAAAGAAGAATTGTTCAAATTATGATAAAAAAAACTGTGACAGCACCAGATAAAACTATCTTCGACAGGTATCTAGATAAATATCGCGTTTTTGTCAGCTTCGCTTCATTGCTCCGCAATAAGCAATAATTGTTTATTATCAAGGAAAATACATTAGGGCCATTTATACGGACAAAATAAGACGCGACTTACATAAGACGCGACTTAAATAAGACGCGAGTTTGTCGTATAAAAGGTACAATCCAAGACGCGTCTTACATAAGAACAGGACTTTTAGCTGTTCTTATTTAAGTCGCGTCTTAAATAAGAAATTCTGGACAAAAATTCTATTAAACTACACATGTCCGGAACTTGAAACAACGTAAAATTATTAGCCTTGCATATTAAAACAAGAACAACCGAAACAACATTATAGCTATAGCAAGTAAATAAGAATAAAGCCGTAGAGAATCATTTATGCGATAACTCCGCTTATATAAGACGCGTCTTATGTAAGTCGCGACTTATTTTGTCCCGTATAAATGGCCCTATTATTTTCATAATAGATGTACTGTAGTTTGGTTGCCTTGCCCTTGTTGCTGTTTTTCAGTAAGTGTTTCAGGGCAGCAGTTGGTTTCAGTTGGTTGTTTCAGGGCAGCAGTTGCCTCTGAAAGACAACAGCTGGTTATAAACACCATACGCTGCATGCACGATAGTGTTCAGTGAAACCAGACCTAGTTACCAAGTCTCCCGGCATATTTGGCGGGAAACAACTAGTGCATTTTGTTGACGTTAATCATCAGCTCCCTCGTTATGGTCCGAAAAAAGTTGGCCGCATTAATGGGGTGGTGGCTGTTTTAACAGGGTATCTTTATAAGGGAATGTATTGTTTTGGCATTTTGGGGGACAAAAATAACTGGCCGGAATGAAGAGGTGACCATACTAATAGGGTGCATAGCCACTGTAATTTGATGAAATCTCCCATCTTTCTTATGTTTACCTGCCATAGGTAATTCCCTAGATGTGATGCAGCTTATCAAATCATGATGCTTGTGATTTACAACTTTTCCTGTGATAAGATAGATCACAGACATATACTAGCTGTAATGATTTACTGCCATAATTGGCCTTTTGCAGTAGCTGCAAATTGTGAAATGGTTTGACAGAACAGATATGATTTCAGATTATATGTACTTTCAAAAAATTTAATGTTGCCATTATTTGTAACCAACGATATTAATTCTTCGAAATTATTAAATTCCCTGTCATTCTGACCGTTCCCAGCCGGAGCTTGGTGAAAGTACTGCAACTCCCCATGACACTGGCCAGCTGACCAAAAAATGCTGGATCTCGAGCCCCGGGCGGTGCTCTAGCTGACACTAGGAGTTTAGGTTATAAACAATTGTTTCTTCATTAATTATTACTATCTGTACTTCAGTTCCGACATCAGCGACCTGTACATCGGAGTCCTGCCTTAACGGTGGTACATGTTTGACGGATGCTAGCGGAGAAAGCAGATGTAGTTGCCTCGAGAATTATATCGGAGCAGACTGTTCTGAATCAATAAGCTGTACAAGCGATGCTCAATGTGGCAACAAGACATGTAAGGTGTATCAGGGTCAGAATTATTGTGATTGCGGTGATGATTTGACTGGATTTTTCTGTGATGTTGCTGTTTCACAAGGTGTGCTAAGTTTATTTATGTTCACATTAGAGTAAAGAGAGGTGGATTGAAGGGTTAATTAAAACACCCATCTTGTACACTAGGGATGCACCGCATATCATATCCAGTCCTATATCCAGACTGGATATATATAGTGAGATAATCTTGATGTCCGGTATTCGGCCGGACACTTCTAATGCCTTGTCTGGCCAGATACTGGACATTGTTTATGTAAGGTTCAGGCCTTGTTTTCAGGTTAGAAAATATGATTTGATATTATTGAAAATGTAGGGTTGTCTATAATAGTTTAATTGAAATGATCAAAGTGAAGTTGTTAGTATTGCCATGCTGGTTTGCGAATGCAAAAAAGTGAATTTAAATTACCTTTGAAATTTGTGGGCAAGATTTTTCCAACTATATATGTAAGTTTATCAAAGCTAGACTGTGAAGTTCTTTCCTATATTATTATTATAGAAGTCAAAATATGGTATTGGTACCACAGTGGTCCAAGGTTTTCAGTTTTCTGTGAAACTCTGGCTCGCTGTGAAAAAGCTATGGCGAACAACACAAAACTAGGGGTTCTTAGTGCCGGTGTCACAGGAGATTTGCCCCCCCCAGGAGATTCGCCCCCCCTCTCAAAAGGGGGGCGATATTCCTAAGATATTCGCCCCCCCCTTTAGGAATTTCGCCCCCCCCATATAAATTTTGAATTTTTGATCTAAAAACAAAACGATTGCAAGTTGAAAAGATTTATTGTGTGATTTATTTATTTATTACAAGGAGACAAAATTACATACACATTTTAGTCTTCTTAGCAGCTGGTGGTGTGCACAGTCTGCATAACCACTCATTTGAGGTACTTAGACTAGTGTCATATTCTACACATCTAAAGTGGAACCATCACAGAGATCGCATAAAATCATGTTGTCGTATTCTTCTGGCAGTTTACATTCACATAACATATTATAAAAACAATCGCTTGCAAATTTTATCAATACGAGTGTTAACAATAGCCGCCACAGTAATCACTTGCTAACAATAAACTATAGGATTAGTAAAAAATCTATGGAATGTATTGGGAAGCGTATCATACTATTGTCCGTTGAATCGTCAACTTTCCGTGTCAGTGATGTAATCTTGATTCTTCACTTCCGCAAAGAAAATTGCACTATATATGTGGTGTGGTTTATTCAAATAATTTCATGATACTTTGATTTTATTAGTGCATGCATGACTTAAACATTCGAGAATGTAACTCTGCAAAACTAAAAGCTTTCTTGTCTTTTTTGAAACGTATATTATTGGATTATTGCCTATTGGCAAGTTCTACCCTTCGCTTCTGAGATTTACAAACTATATTGAAATAATGCAAGTAAAAAATAGTGACAAACCATACATTTTCCGATAACGACAAAACGTGGATGCAAAACAATACCAATAATTACAATAACCACCACGGTGATTACTTTTTAACAATGAGTTTAAGGATTAACACTGAAAATGCAAATTGCAAAATATGCATGGTGTGCTGTGAAGCGTCATAAGTCCTATTGAGTATTGATCTACTGTAACTGTGTAAAGCCCTTTCGATACATGTAATTGTAAATTTGTATTCTTACATGCAGGGCTTGAAATAACGTTCCCAAAGTTCCCGATCATGGTGATCGGCAGTCGTGACTTTCCCTGCTTTAATTTTGGAAACCGAAACCCTGCTTTTCCGCCGACCATAAGCAATTCCTTGCCGATCATTGATCGGTGATCGGTTGTTATTTCAAGCTCTTTCTTAACAATTTTGAATTGATACTGATTTCAAATGATTAAAGCTATGTAATAATTATCCCATGCAACTGTTAGGAAGGGCGAAATTTTGAACGGAGGACGAAAATCCTAAAGAAAAGGTGAAGTTTCTAAAGGGGGGCGAATTTCCTAAAGGGGGGCGAAATTCCTAGGATTTTCGCCCACCTGTGGGGGGGGGCGATATTCCTAGGAATTTCGTCCCCCGGGGGGCGAAAATGTAGGGGGGGCGAAAATCCTGGGACACCGGCCTTCGCTTCCCTACTACTGAGAATAATCTGTAGACAAAGTATAGCAAATATAACTCCAGTGAAGCCACCATCTCTAGTATATATATAACGCCAGCAATGAACGCTAATCCCTTTTCAAAATTATCCGATGACCTCCAAATGTTCTATAGGTTTGATATCAATCCAAATTAGCACCAAATATTATCTTTGCATAATTGCATGTCCAGCATATTTTGTAGCTACCTGTATTAAGCGTGTTTGACACAGCCAGGGCTTGACACATGGACTAAAAAACTAGTCTTTTACATTTTGTCCCTATTATCTCTGGAACTTTTGAAGATGAAGCAGTTCGACTGTTGCTCTCGTGTGCGGCAGTTTTAAGTTATCGAAGTCGTACTGCTATTATTGTCAATCAAGTTAATGTTGCCTTTGTTGACACTCAAGGGAAGCTCAGATTGAACCTCCACTCTTTGAGCGTGAGCGTGAGTGAACTTTTAGAATACAGGCGTAAAACTTCTTCCGAGCCAAACTGAACTGAAGGTCATCAGCCATCATCATGTATACTGTATGCCTGACCCAAACTCAAAGTCATGGGACATTTTGTCAGACGGCCCTGTAAAATAGCCTATATTTGAAGGCCTGAATTCAGCCAATATTTTTAAAACTGTTCAGATACTGTAAAACATTTTCTTTATTTCCGCTAGATACGTCATTCCCGTCAAATGAAGGAATAATAAACAACTTAATACACTACTGGACATTCAACATCATTCCGTTTGGGAGACTATTTGTTGATACAATTGGACGTAATCATTTTACCAGAAATGGTACGTATATTACTACAGTGCAGCAAGGTTTTTTAGGGGTGTGCTTGGCAACCAAACACACCCCCACCCAGCAATGGCACACCAAACCCAGCACTGGCCAGCAGCGTACTGTCATGAAAGTGCAACTGGTAGTTTCGTGCTTACAAATTAGCCTACATATATGATGAATAAATATAATTTAATAATTATATAAAATAGAAAATATGCCCAATTCTCTTGATATACTGTGATTGTGTGAAAAAGACCAGATGGTCAAATTTGAACATTTTATTGCTTTTGTAATTTTTATTTTCATTATCAAATACTTGTAATGTTAAACGTTTGCAGCAAAATTAAGAATTTGCTTTATTTAATCAAAGTATCAAATTAAAAAAATTATTAATATTGGACTTATTAGTATTTTGAACTAGTTCTGTGGCCTTGAATTCCAAAATTGAAAGTTAGTCTAAGACTGATAATAAACTTTGAATACCTCAAACATTTAGAAGTACGATTTTGTTTATTTTTTTGCGGGTGCACATTGTAATAAACAGTGTTACGCCATTAACGTTGAACTTACAATGAATATATTTTTCGAATATAAAACGTGATAACATGTTATGTCTAGACAATTGGGGGGGGTGTCCAACTTGTCAATGTCAATGTCAATGTATTACATCCCCCTTCTTAAACTAACAAAATATTAATATAACTTTAATATGAACCGTTCGAATAATCGTGTCCGTGTTTATCTATAGGTAATAATAGTCCAGTTACTATTGGCAGGATAAGTTGAAAGTAACTCAGAAAGTTTGATTAAATCTATTTCATTTCATGACACAGTCTCTGTATTTTATTGGTAGCGCTGTGGTTCTCATTGGTCGTCCCTGATTAGGTGGGTTCTGGAGGTCTAAATCTGGTGGTTGTGGAATAATGGTCGGTTGTTCTTCACCAACATCCTCAGTTTGCTCTATTATGGTTGAATCGTTGCTTTGGCATTTTCTTGTAACTCGATGTGATATTCTCCTTCGACGAGACCCAAACCAATGAATACATCTTTGTAGTCCTCGATGATGTCTGCTTTCTTTTCCTGGATTTCACTGATTTGATTTATGCTAATTAATTCAAGATTCTGACATGTTTGTAACCCAATCAGTGCTTTGGCATTGGGAGCCTTGACAACAAAGAACTCGACTTCCGTTTTCCGGTCTGCAGTTTGCTCGATTTCTAAAACGCATTTTCCTTTCACGGGAACCTGTGCTCCTCCATATGCTGTTAGTTTTGTCCCAGTAGCGATTAGTTGTGGTTTCTGCTTAATTCCGTCGAAAATTTCCTCGGGTAGCACATTGCACTGAGCGCCAGTGTCTATTTTGAAATTTACATTTTTGCCGTTAACCTTGAGGTTAGTAATTAATACATTTTTGGCCGTTGTTGTCGTAATTTCTCCGATAAACAATTCGTCTTCCTCCGTACTAGAATTGTCGGTAGTTTCTTCTTTTCGAACTTCGTGTACGCGTGTTTCTGACATTTGAGTGTTGAGGTTTTTCGAGCGGCACATTTTGGCGAAATGATTATTTCCGTGACACTTGCGACATGTTTGTCCAAACGCTGGGCATTGTTTTGGTGCATGATTTGAGCCACATCGCGAACAAGGTTGTGTTTTGCTGACATTTCTACTTGGTTTCGTTTCTTCCCTCTGGTATTTACTGCGAGAGGTTCTTTCAAAATTCTTGTGAATTGATTCTACTTCGAGCGAAGGATTATTTAACTTTTGTACTTGGGTCTTGCTTGTTTCTGCGGCTCTAACGATGCTAATCGCCTTTTCTAACGTGAGGTCGTTGTCTCGGAGCAAACGCTCTCTGATGCTGTTGCTGTCGATTCCACAAACGATTCTATCTTTAATTAAGCTGTCCTGTAGTGATTCAAATTCACAGGTCTTTGCTTTGTTGCGAAGGTCAAGTATAAATGCATCGAGTTTTCTTCCGTTTTGTACACACGTATTAAATATATATCGCTCGTATGTCGTGTTTTTCCTTGGTGTACAGTAGCTCTCAAATTTCTGAATGAGCGGCTCGATCTTATCTTGTTCAATTTCAGTAAAGGTGAAAGTATCATAGATTTCCAATGCTTCTTCTCCGATTGTATGAAGGAAAATTGCACACTGAATCTCTTCGTCTTTTTCGTTGGCTCCACTGGCTTTCGCGTAAAGATTCCAGCGTTGTCTCCATTTCCTCCAGTTTTCTGCCACATTTCCGTCCATTTTTAACGGACCCATAGGCTTCATATGTTCCATGATTGTAGTTTCTCCTGACACCATGTAATAAACAGTGTTACGCCATTAACGTTGAACTTACAATGAATATATTTTTCGAATATAAAACGTGATGACATGTTATGTCTAGACAATTGGGGGTGTGTCCAACTTGTCAATGTCAATGTCAATGTATTACACACATCCCTGACCCTGTGCATCCCTTCTATAAATCCATGACCATTAAAGAGGGCCCCCTATACCCCTTCGCAATATGCTTTCACGTAAAAATATTTTGCCTTTTCACGAGTCACGAAAAATTGAAAAAATTCCTTCACGTTCACGGAAAAATCGAAGCGATCACGATTCACGTAAAAATAAAACAAAATTCACGAATTATTATAGGATGTCTTCCTTAATTGTAGAATCATTGTACTCGTCTGTACTTACCTCGACATGCTTTCAAACCTCCAACTATGTCGAAAACAGGCTTCTGTACTTCAAGAACTTCAAAAACCAGCAACAAACCGTATTTATACCTTGGAAAGCTGATCACACAAAACAGATGATTCACGAATCACGCATATTTCTATCTGCCATTCACGGGTCACGGTTAATTCGAATCTTTCCTTCACGTGCACGTAAAAAGATTGGAAGTCATACTATCACGAATCACGGATTAAGAAAATCATCGATCACGTTTCACGGCTAAGTAAAATAAGCCCATCACGCTTCACGCAAAAAGTATAGGGGGCCCTCATTAAAGCGAGACACGTATATACTGGAATAACTAAAATGAATTTTTCCAGTTTATGGCTCTTTAAAAAGTTCGTAGAGGACTGATTTATGAGGGAGTTGGTAGTCAGTGATGAGGGGGGTGTGGGGGATGTGACACCCCAAAGTACAAATCATCTGGATTGGCAGGGCAAATCATCTGGATTGGCAGGGCAATGAAAGATTTTAATTAAATGATAGAATGTAGAGTTATTAAGTAGATTCCAGGGCTTCCAGAGAGAATTGAATAGAATCTATAGACCTAAATTTTACAGATATTGGTAAAAAATAAGGGTTTCATGCATGAAAAATTTTTTCGCGCCTTTCTTGAATGTACGGGAAAAAATTTCGACCCCAACATTTTTGGGAGAAATAGTGGCCAAAAAATTTTTTTGCTGCAGGGCATCATCGGCTTTCGCAGGGCAATTCTAGCAGTCACCCCTCTAATTAAAAGGGGCTAGCTTCGCCCCTGTCAGTCATCTACATGTTTAGATAGCTACAATGCAGGAAAATATTATTGTGGACAGCGCGTGCCGTGAATAGAAATATTTAATAATATAGGTATATATCTTGCCCAATCATATACTTGCAAAACAGATACCAATAAGTGTAGTACATGAATAGTACAATACTTTATAGCTTGCGAAACTAAAGTGTCCACGAAATTTCTGCCATGATTGTAGCACCACTGCAGAATTCTTAATTCAACTAAGTTTTGAAGGATCAGTCATTTTGAATTTGTGTTAGCCTCTCAGACTATGGCTCGGTAGTTTCCCTTTCTTTTTAACTTCTCCAGTCATGGTGGAGTTACACAGAACTGTCTTTGCTTTGTACATGGACTCTAGTCAACAAAAGGGCGTGGTCACCAACCAAAACCGCGCCCACGAACGGAAACAGAAAATTTGCCCGACACACACACACTAGTGTGGCGGATATGTGCATGGATGTTTCCGAAGAGGGTTAAAAGCACCAAATTGTGCACAGTGGCATCTTTTTATGAGTAGAACAACATGCAAAAGTGAGGCCATCGTGAAACTGTTTTTTTAGAGAGTTACGATGCTATTAGCATTATTTGCTATTAAATTCTACTGCAACAAAAAATGTGAAATTTTGAATTCAATCGCGATGAATATAACTTGCATCATCAGAAAGCTTGTAAAAAACTACATAAAAGACTTTTAAACAGTTTTTTATTCTTCATATGGTTATTGCTGTAAATTAGGCACATTATTTCGCTAATAGTCCCTAATTAATTATTCGATGTTTGAAAATGTGTTTTTAACAGTTTATAATTTGAAAACTATTTCAGAAATCAAAAAACTGTCTAAACGTCTTATATGCAGTTTTTTATAAGCTTTCTGATGATGCAAGTCATATTTGTTGTAATTGAATACAAAATGTCACTTTTTTGGCTATTATAGAATTCAATAGAAGAAAATCACTAATCACCCGTTTTCAGGAGTTAGCAGCAAAATAGCGATGGCCCCACTTCAAATATCTATTAAGCAAATAAACCTACATCAATTGTAAAAGTTTGATGCTTTTAACCTCAACGGGAACTACTGGTCAATAATTTTACACATATCCGCCTCACTACACTGATTGAATTACTGACCTGATTATTGAAATGATTGAATACCTTATATTCATCATTCGCTTCTGTTTGCTTTTTCTGCCCTGTATTATAACTAGCATTCCCGCTTTATATACTGTAGTGATCTATTTGAATTTGAATTTATTGAATTAGTTATCAGCTTTACAGTGACGACTGGAGAAAGAAACAGGGCGAGTCCCCAATTGACATAAAACCCCTCTATTTTAGAATTGTTAACGGAGGTGCCTTGCATGGGACTTATCGTTTCGTTCGCTTCTTTCCTTTTGGGAAACGATGTGTATTAATTTAGCAAATAACAGTACAATTAGATCATGATAAATTTAGCTAGATTTCATTCGATGTATGTTCGTGTTTTTCAGGAGATACGCGTTTATACAGATCTGCAGATCTTGGAAATGTAGCCAGTTTGAATCGGTTCGGAAGTGGATCACTAATCTCAGGTAATCTATGCATAAAAATCCGTCAGAATGAGAAATACTGTAGGAGAAGATCGGCCATTAGAAGTGAGCCAATGCTGTACAGGGATGGTGGGTTTTGCAGTATATCTAAACACCATCGTGCAACACATGCCAGAGAAAGAAAGTAATTTTATGATTTTGTTTGTTGTATGAAATATTATATTTAACAATTATTCGCCGAAGGCGAGGTGATTATCGGGGAATATTCGCCGAGACGAAGTCGAGGTGAATATTCCCCGATAATCACCGAGCCTGAGGCGAATAATTGTTTTAGTATTTTTACACAAGCTTTTGTGTTTTTTGAGACTGAATTTTTTTTAATTTCGCTTATTTCTTTGTCAGTAAACTTCCACAAAACGGGTAGCCGCCATTTTGAAAATTTCTGTTTTGTTATATTCACCTGTAGGTGAATATAACAGCTTATTACGTCAAATTTGACCAATCAACGTGTAGGATTTGTTATGTTCACTTGTGCAAAAATACTAAAGCCTTTTATTTTGCGGTAAATGGATAGAAATTTCGGAGAGATGTACCCGGTTGCGAAGAGTGTCAACATTTTTAAAATTTGGTAGGATTTAGCATTATTGTACAATTAAAATACAGTTATTCCAATTTATTTTTATTCAGATTTTGAAGGTCACATCAGTAATAGTTATTTTCATAACATTACTTACTGACCCAAGAATTAATAATTTTCTGACGGTTCATACCCCCAAGGCCTCCCTTTGAGAATGTCCGATCCCTTGTTAAAATTTTAGGACGACACTACTGTTCTCATTTTAGGTACTCTAAACGATCCATGTTTGGTGGCCCCGTACAATTGCACAGAAGGATTGACAGTTTCATTTTGGCTGCAATTTATATCTGGAGGAATCATAATCCGTACAGGCAAGGCTGGTTTCCACGTTTATGTCGAAGGTGGAAAATTCCTCATCACCTACCAAGGCGTGGACAGAAGCTGGACCATAGAACGTGGATGTATTCCTATGGGCGTCTTCCTCGTGACAGCCACGTGGAGTGAGGCTGGCGGATTGTCGTACTACGAGAATGGGAAACCAGTGGTCTCAACGCAAATCTCCGATCTGAGTTCGATTTCTGGGAATTTTGATGACGTCATCACTGTTGGGTATGAGGAAACCTCGAGCGGGAAAAGATATTCAAGTTTAATCATCGATGATCTGATGATATGGAACCGTACCCTAAGCTCTGAGGATGTTCGAACAATTCATGATGCTGGTGAGCCGTGTAATCTTTACAGCATTAAGTATTTAAATTAGTTTAATGGCGAGCTTTCGTCCTATCAGGCTTATAAGCTTCACCCATTGAAGCAAGTGATTAAAAATAATTTGATCAGAGAACGTCTCAACTTTAATTTTTATTTCATATTTTACAGTATACAAGTTAGTTGGTTACTTAGTAAACAATTACATTTCAATACAAATGAACGGGATTTTTTGGAGAGTGAGTGCTCTCCTAGTGAGTGAAACGTTTGACCAGTAGCATAGCTAGGATTTCTAGTTACTGAGGGTAGCGAAAAAATCCCGGGAAGGGCCCAAGCAATTTTCCCCTGCGCTAATTCAAATAAAGTTTGTTTATTCTGTGAAAATGTATTTGGGCTTTCACGCTATCCATAATATAGAACAATTAACTTTTAGGGGTGCGAGACTATGCTCGTCCCGAAAACGTTTTTAATTCTAGAGTTAGTAAACTGCCATTTTTAGCATTTTGAGCACTATTTTAAAATGCGGTTTGATGATTTTAAATAACCATTTAACACATAACAACTCTACCTATAATCACAAGTGAATACAGAACATTTAAAACATAGGAAGATATAAAAAATTCCATAACAAGAAATGAAAATATAATGTGCATGGTTGTACTGGTCAGAATTTTTCCAAGAATGAGCCCAATATTTTGCTATTTTCAAGACACTTTTTTGGCACGTTATCAAGTTGTCCAAACTTTGAAATTCTCTTGGTGTTAAAGATTAGAATTATGTGCTTATCTCCAAAGGTTTTCATAAAATTTGGAGTTGAGCGTTTGAATACACAGCGTTGGAAAGCGAGGTATTTGTGTGGGTTAAATTTTGCCTCGTGTCCTCGTTATATATAAGCGGTCTGGTGCTGAGGAAGAACCTTCGCTTAAGAAATTGAAGTGTCATTTTATACGTTGTTATTTCAGGATTCTCAACCTCATTTGGTCGTGCATCATGTCTGTCAAGCCCATGCGAATCAGGATCATGGTGTGTTCAGGGTGCTTCCTCTACTGAACATGCCTGCCTACAGCCCACCAGTAGTGATTGTTCATTTGAAGAGGATCTGTGTGGTTTCAACGGTCTTTATGCTACAAGAACGTCGAAAAATAACCAGAGCGCAATCATCGAAAATATGCCGTATCATGATCACACGTTTGGGAACTGTACAGGTAACAAGTCTTAGACGTGCTCATATTGTGGTATACTTTACGTTTTGGGCACAGTTCCATGTTTGTATCATAGACGGATGTTTTGGGGTGCAGAGGGGTGCGCACCCCCCCCCCCAATATTACTTTGCACCCCCACCCCCCAGAAATTTAAATGCTCATTGGATTAAATGACATGCAGTATTGTGATTGAAATAAGGATTTTAAACTGAATAAGACTAAAATCATATCATTTTGTACTATAAATAACACCATAGTCCTGGCTTATTCAACCCAGCGTTTATAGAATAGTTCACCTAACACCATCGTGGTTGATTTAACCAGGATACATGTGATCAAATTAACCAGGATTATGGTTAAATTGGCTAAGAAATTTAACCAGGAACAAAGTGGCACTGTCTTTAAAATTTTCATTGTCTCAAACGAAAGAACTCCTAATACTGTAAAGTAACTTTTTTTGAAAAAATTGGTTTTCATAGTTTGTTCTTGAGATATTTCATTTTGTTTGAAACCATGTGACGTCATTTACTCAATTACATATATAATATATAATACATATTTAATGGGATATCAATAAATGTTGTGTATCTTTGTATTATTGACGGCCAATTTGTTTAAAAAAAACAGTATGCGTTTGTTAAAAAACGCGCCGCATCTTTGGAAAGATTTTGATAAAAAATAGCAAAGATACGCATCAACACTGCGCTGACTGATCTAAACGAGGATTTGATTAGAATGCGAAACTGGTGCTTTGATAACCTGCTCTTGCTGAATCCAGACAAAACTATATTGATGGTCTACGGAAGCCGCCAATAGCCCGCGTGCAGGCCCAAGGGAAGAATAGTGGGCCTGCAAGCAAGGCCCGGTATTTTGTACTTTCCGCGTTCGCCCACGAACGCGGCATTCTGATTGGCTGTTTGCTGTTGGATTCTATAATTATATTTATACATCACTTATCACAAAGGCTCTCGATAAGCTTAAATTCCAAAATTGATCACTTTTTTCGATTAAAAATGGAACAAGAACAGACTGTTTATTGTTTACTTGAAGGAACTGTCAAATGCATGAACGATTGCGCACCTGCCTACTTATCGTCCCAGTTCAAAACGAGAGATGAAGTGAGTGGTCGCGATACAAGAAATATTAAACAACTGGACGTTCCGTTATACAGATCAACTGCAGGACAAAGAACATTCCATTACAGAACTGTCACTCTCTGGATATTAACCCTGACTTACTGTCGATGCAATAGAAGTGTTGATAAAATATTGCACCAATTCCTTTCCTCAAGTTGATCAATTCATTTGATAGAAAATTGATCAACTTCCTGTTTACTGGCATGCTTGCTCCCAATTGGTCAATCAGCCACTGAAACGTAAAGCCATTGGTTGATTCAAACACACAGGAAGTTGATCTATTTTCAACGAATGAATTGATCAGTTCTAAGGAATGAATTGATGCGATATTTTATCAACACTTCCATTGCAACGACAGTAAAACTTTGCAAATTTATTCCAAGCTTTAAAATTAAACTGAAACGGGAACAGCAATTTCTAGATAGTTAAGGGCATGTTTTTCTTTTGTTAATCAGTAAGCGTTGTTGTCATTGTCGTTGTTATTGTCCTCGATGTTGTTGTTGTTGTTTTTGCTGTCGTTGTTGATGATGCCTATGTTGCTGTTGTTAATGGTGCTGTCAAGAATTGATGTCGTGTTTGTGTATAAAGTAATTGCGTGATCTTATTACATAAATTTCGGATCTAATGTATAATTATAGTAATTAATTGATATGTATATGTATTTTTGTCACTGAAAAGCCCCTTTAGGAGAGTATCAATAAAGTCAATATTCAATATTCAATACACAACAATTACTGATATCTCATTATATATATAATTGAGTAAATGACGTCACATGGTTACTAACAAAATGAAATATCTAGATCTCAAGAACTAAGCACGGGAACAAAAATCTTCAAAAGAAGTTACTATATAGTTTTAAGAGCATTTTCGTTTAAGAAAATAAAAATTTTAATAACACTGTCACTTTAAAGCCTGGTTCACATATGCCTGCGACTGTATCATTATGCCTCTACTTGCCGCCGAAATACCGGCAAAGTTGAGCTCAAGTCAACTTTCCCGGCCTACCGCCGATGTAACTGTGGCACTGGAGGCAATCGACGAACAAATGTTAACATAATTTACGTTTTAAAGCTACCACCGGCATCGTCGCCGGCACGTCGCAGACATATATGTGAACCAGGCTTAAGTTACCCCAAACATCGTTAATTTTAGATTTACCAGGATTTTGTAGGGTGTGTTCGAGAAGTGCGTATTATTTACCAACTCCATGTTACCTTGTTTTAGTTCCGTCGGCAAAATATCTGGTATTTACACCAACTACTGTTGGCGATTCCATCATCTCCTTTCTCGCCTCCCAAACATTCGTGTCACCGAGAGGACATCTATTTCGTTTTCGTTTCTGGTACTTCATGTACGGTCAAGATGATGGAAATCTGATTGCTCATATCACGCAAGATTCATCAACCTCAGTTCTTTGGAGCACTACCTCACGTAATGTTAGGGATTGGCAATTTCAACAAATCGAAATGAAAGCGGCTCAGAGCTTTTCAGTAAGCGTTTTTTTTTTCTGTTGTGGAATTTGTATTTTGGACCGTTTCATTTTTTGGACTTGCATGAGCGGTCGTGTTGTATCGGATATACATACATGAGCTTGTGGTTAGAGCTGGACAACTGGCCTGTGTAGCTCACTTGGTTAGAGCTCAACTACTGGACTATGTAGCTCAGTTGGTTAGAGCTCAACAACTGGCCTCTGTAGCTCAGTTGGTTAGAACTCAACAACTGGACTCTGTAGTTCAGTTGGTTAGAGCTCGACAACTGGACTCTGTAGCTCACTTGGTTAGAGCTCGACAACTGTACTCTGTAGCTCAGTTGGTTAGAGCTCAACAACTGGACTCTGTAGTTCAGTTGGTTAGAGCTCAACAACTGTACTCTGTAGCTCAGTTGGTCAGAGCTCAACAACTGGACTCTGTAGTTCAGTTGGTTAGAGCTCGACAACTGGACTCTGTAGTTCAGTTGGTTAGAACTCAACAACTGGACTCTGTAGCTCACTTGGTTAGAGCTCAACAACTGGACTCTGTAGCTCAGTTAGTTAGAGCTCGACAACTGGACTGTGTAGCTCAGTTGGTTAGAGCTCGACAACTGTACTCTGTAGCTCAGTTGGTTAGAGCTCAACAACTGGACTCTGTAGTTCAGTTGGTTAGAGCTCAACAACTGTACTCTGTAGCTCAGTTGGTCAGAGCTCAACAACTGGACTCTGTAGTTCAGTTGGTTAGAGCTCAACAACTGGACTCTGTAGCTCAGTTAGTTAGAGCTCAACAACTGGACTCTGTAGCTCAGTTAGTTAGAGCTCAACAACTGGACTCTGTAGCTCAGTTAGTTAGAGCTCGACAACTGGACTCTGTAGCTCAGTTAGTTAGAGCTCAACAACTGGACTCTGTAGCTCAGTTAGTTAGAGCTCAACAACTGGACTCTGTAGCTCAGTTAGTTAGAGCTCAACAACTGGACTCTGTAGCTCAGTTAGTTAGAGCTCAACAACTGGACTCTGTAGCTCAGTTAGTTAGAGCTCAACAACTGGACTCTGTAGCTCAGTTAGTTAGAGCTCAACAACTGGACTCTGTAGCTCAGTTAGTTAGAGCTCGACAACTGGACTCTGTAGCTCAGTTAGTTAGAGCTCAACAACTGGACTCTGTAGCTCAGTTAGTTAGAGCTCAACAACTGGACTCTGTAGCTCAGTTGGTTAGAACTCAACAACTGGACTCTGTAGCTCACTTGGTTAGAGCTCAACAACTGGACTCTGTAGCTCAGTTAGTTAGAGCTCGACAACTGGCCTCTGTAGCTCAGTTGGTTAGGGTTCAACAACTGGACTCTGTAGTTCAGTTGGTTAGAGCTCGACAACTGGACTCTGTAGTTCAGTTGGTTAGAGCTCAACAACTGGACTCTGTAGCTCAGTTAGTTAGAGCTCAACAACTGGACTCTGTAGCTCAGTTAGTTAGAGCTCAACAACTGGACTCTGTAGCTCAGTTAGTTAGAGCTCGACAACTGGACTCTGTAGCTCAGTTAGTTAGAGCTCAACAACTGGACTCTGTAGCTCAGTTAGTTAGAGCTCAACAACTGGACTCTGTAGCTCAGTTAGTTAGAGCTCAACAACTGGACTCTGTAGCTCAGTTAGTTAGAGCTCAACAACTGGACTCTGTAGCTCAGTTAGTTAGAGCTCAACAACTGGACTCTGTAGCTCAGTTAGTTAGAGCTCAACAACTGGACTCTGTAGCTCAGTTAGTTAGAGCTCGACAACTGGACTCTGTAGCTCAGTTAGTTAGAGCTCAACAACTGGACTCTGTAGCTCAGTTAGTTAGAGCTCAACAACTGGACTCTGTAGCTCAGTTAGTTAGAGCTCGACAACTGGACTCTGTAGCTCAGTTGGTTAGAGCACTGCACCGGAATCGCAGGGCCGCAGGTTCGATTCCTGCCAGGGACCTAAAGTTGAATTTTTCGCTTCTGTTCCTGGTTAGGTCTAATCATAGCATATCGCAGGGAAGATGGCTGTGAAACTCATTTCAAAAACAATTTAACTCATTATCTATGTTAGTCAACGTTTATTCATAAATACGGTCCTTCACAAATTTCTGCTCCATAATTTCCATCTACAATACCCTTCAACTAATATTCAAAATCTTTTCTAGCTAACCCTTACGGCGTCTGCTGGTTCTGGAGTAAATCTGGTAATTGCCTTGGATGACATCAGCCTTCAAGTCTGCAGTAAGAATCATTCATTTCTTCTCACTCTCTGTAATAAAAAAAGATGGCCTATACTGGAACTCTATGAAAAACAGTTTAGAACCAATACGGCTATCCAGCATACGAATAAAGTTAGTCTAGTTTAGGTTTCCCCCTGTAGTACTTAAAACTGGATCAGTATGACACTTACTGAAACTCTTGGGAGAACAATAGGGCCGTCGCGAAGAGACTAAAGATGGGGAGAGGGGGCTGTAATATCGGATTTTATGGGGGGGGGGGGAGGGACAAAACTATTTTTCCGGTCATTATATTTTTCATTCACTTTAGGCTTAACGTACCGTTATTCGTGACATTTTTCCTTAATGTTTTTCTAAATTTCTCCAAAGTTTTGCTATAACTAGTACTTTTTATTCGGTGTCGCTCAAATATTTTAGTTCTTTTCCTTCGTATTCAGTTATGTTTTGCCGACTACGAATACAATTTGCAGACAAATTCGTCATTTTGCCGAAAATATGTTTTCTCAACTCCCCCCCCTCCCAACCTCCCCCCCCTCCCCCTACCGACGGACCTGGAGAATAGCTTAGATCTGATAGACTGTTTAGACTGTTCAGTATAAAGTTAATTTAGTTTCGGTTTCCCTCTCATCTGAAAACTATAGGACTGCATTGACTGACCATTCAATTGGCAAATTTTGAAATTTAAACACGTCGCGATCCGATTTTAGTTGGTTTACCAACTCTTTTCTCTCCGGTCCGCCATAAATAATGACCAGTCCCACTCCCCACCATAAATAATGACCGGTCCCTAATGATCTTTACTTGCTCCGGGCAAGCGCTAAGTTACACCACTGCTAATTCAATGACTATCGTATCCTTTATAGATCCTTATCTTCAGCCCACTGTCACAAATGCCAACCTGGCAGATAATGGTGGCGTGAACATCACGTGGTCACATGCTGGTTGTTTTGAGACTTTTCCCCTCACTACAATGGTTTTTTACCGAACTTTAAACTCAACAGAATGGACTCTACATGCTACTACGGAAGACAATTCTCATGTAATCTCTTCAATCCTTTTCCCACCTAATGCCACATTCGAATTTAAAGTCAACACGCGTTACGTTGTTAATAATGAGGTTGTTATCAGTGATGATAGTGTGGCTTTTAATTTCACAATTCCTGGTTAGTGGTCTTGTATCACGACTGTAACAGTGTCTATTCATGTTTATTAATGTTTATTTTTATTTGTATTTTCCAATCATTCTTTCAATACTCAGGTTTTGCTCGCAATCAGAAAAAAGACCATCCCGGTCGGGCGGAATAAAGCCTTCATATGGAAAATTATATTCCACCACTTGACTAAGATCCCACCTAGCCCAAGGTGAGATCTCACCCAACTAGACTGGCTCGGTCTCGTTTGAACACAAATTGAATTTTGTATGCCTTAAGAAAGGGCTAGGGGTGGACATTCGACAAGTTGCTGGGGGGTTGGGGGCGATCTGGCACCGACTTTCTTGTTTTCTGCAACAAACATTTGTGACGAGTAGATTAAATAACTCTTATAGCAGAAAATTGGCGCCAGCTGTTGATACACTTTCAAAGAAAATCGAGACCGACTTCATGTGAATTTGGACTGGGGGGGGGGGTGTTCAACCCCCCTTCCAAACCACCACCCCCTCCTAATGTGCGTTCCCTGGAAAGGGCATGCAGATTTCACTTAGTAGGCGAGTCTCCCTCTTACGTGGTTTCATATGGATTAAGTCATCTGACGTGGTTTTACATCTACTGTGGTTTTATCTACATTCCAAACACTTCGAGATTTCGAGCGAAGGCCAACTACTAACTATTGAGTGCCAGCAAATGCTCATATTCCCACTGACATTACAAGAGTTAGTTTAAGGACTCTTGTGGGAATAGCTAATTTGACCCCAATATAAGGTTGCCATTACATGCCTGTATCGATCTGCATGTGCATGAAGTACTACTCATCGATCACTTTACCAATTACCACAAACTAGACTTTACAAACTTTCTTACAGCATAAATAGGGTCAAATTCTGTTTGCTGTGAGTTAGCAACACTCTATTTTATAAACCCACACGGCTTTACATTTGCCGTGTTTTTCTATTTTTGGCCGTGGTAACCAGGGTTTTTCTCAGGGCTTTTTTTATGGTGAGTTTTGAAACTCAATAATTTCATCAGACGTTTCAGCACAGTAAAATGTGACGTGGAAATAATTTTTCCCGTTGGAAACCAAACAAAGTACGAAAAAGCGAATATACTAGCCGCAATTCGTTTCATATCACAAATTCAAAGCAATTTTGAGCTGTAGAGCGGTAATTGTGGGCAATTGTGGAACTTCCTGGGCCTTTGACCATGGGCACCCGGGGAGCTTAGGAGAGTGCGAGAAAACCGCCCCAGACCCCAAGCTGATTAGGTAAACTGAATCTTCTCTGCAAAAACGGACCCAGCAAAATAACCTAAAAAAATCCCTGGGTAACACGCTTTCTAGCCTACTATCGCCACTAGCAATAAATAAACAACCTGTCTTTTATATTCCAGAATCTTTCATATCTTCAACATTGACTTTCGAAGCTGCACCAGCAGTGCCATCCAACGTATCCATCTCAGATCGCGGATGGCTTTTGAATCGAGGAATAAACGTCACAATAGCATGTAAAGTTGCCTCAGTAACAAAACCAACAATAATTTTGAAGAAAGATAAGATTATTTATCCTACAGAACTGCTAAAAGAACTAACAGACCCTCCATCTGAGGGAACCAACCTGTGGCAAGCTACAATGTCAATCCTTCCATTCGAGGACGATGACGCTGCTAAATACATCTGTGAAGTAAAGTCTGGAAATGACAGTGTACTATCTCGAATATTGTACCTCAATATACAAGGTAATTGACGAGTGTCAGCTAAAGCAGTAAATGCAGTTTATACCCAATAACCCAAAAATTCAAGGCAAAGTCAAGAAAATTATCCATTTTAACGATCGTTTTTTTCCATATGATCGGCTGCGGTCGTAAAATATTTTTTTTTACTGATTTACTTGCCAATTAACGATGTTCTAAAATGTTAAAGTGCCTATGTCATGATTTGTGTGATTGTATATTTTATGAAGAAATGCAATATATCTTTAAAAGAAAATATTCCATCTTCGCAGGATTATCAGGCCTCAAAGTTACCGGATATGACATCAAACCGGGAATTGCAAATTAGATTTCTTAATATGTTTCTAGCGTATAAAATTCCCGATTTTATGTCATATCCGGTAACTTTGAGGGCTGATAATCCTATGAAGATGGTATATTTTCTTATAAAAATATATTACATTTCTTCATAAAATGCACCAGAGATAAAAAATATTTAAAATCCCAAATCATGACATAGGCACTTTAAAGTCTAATCTATATCCTATTTCGCACTCGTATACATTATGTTTTTCGTTTGTGAACTTTTCTTGCTGTTCAAATAAAAGATAAACTAATGAGAGCCATGATGCCGGAATATCTTACAGTATACCGCCGACATCACTCCAAAATATTTCCACGTTTAGCAATACAGCTGACAATTTTGATCAAGAAACGTTGAATACAACCATATGACACTCTACGATGGAATGTAATATTTCAAATCCTCGTTAGTGTTTTAGACGTGGTTTCTAAATACAAGTGCCATGAACAATGGCGAGGCGCAGCCTCGCCATTGTTCATGGCACTGGGGATTTGGAAGCCAAGTTTAAAACACTAACGATGATTTGAAATATTACATTCCATCATCAGATATTCATAGCAATGAGGCATGAAATTATTAGCTATTCAAAAAAGTGACTCGGCGTGGGACATTAACGATTACATTCGCTTGAAAGTTTGCATGAAGTGTAACGAAGCATTCAGTTCGCTTTCGTCGGGAATAGAATGATGAATTTTGTTGGCAAAAGAGCATGTCATCTTCTTATAAGAAAAAGCGGTTTCGAAAACCCAAAAGTGTTGAGCACAGTATTGAAAATGTAAAGAAAGCCACTCGCTGATAATTATAAGGATGGAGATCCGTACCCCGAAAAAAAGAAATCAGATTGTGTGTGTGATAAGGCGCTATCTGGTGGAATATATTAGACGGTAAACATTACTGATAAGTTGCTGTATTATCGCTGTACTGTTTATTATGATAGTTGGTAAACAATCGTAATTTTCCTTTTCGTATATTTATGTAGTTTTCAAACGTTCAGAAAACGTGTTAGATGTAAAGTGTAGTAAGAAAAAATTTCTAAATACAGCTTACTGTATTTAGAAATAATTCTAAACATAGCAATTAAATATATTTGCATAATCTTTTGTTTACCCCTCAATTTCCCTATTGTTCAAAGCCCTTCCCACTTAATTAATTAAAGTCCTGGTTTTCTCTTCTGTGGTCCTGGTCTAGACGGGGTATCCAGATAGATACACGTGATGTAAATTACACCATGTCATTGGCCGAACTATGCTATGAATATCTAATGATGTGTTAGAAATATAAATATTTAACAATTATTCCCCGAAGGTGAGGTGATTATCGGGGAATATTCACCGAGACGAAGTCGAGGTAAATATTCCCCGATAATCACCGAGCCTGAGGCGAATAATTGTTTTAGTATTTTTACCTCCGCCAGGAGGTTATGTAATCATCTGGGTTTGTATGTGTGTGTGTATGTGTGTGTGTTTGTCTGTGAGCACGATAACTCAAGAAATACCAAACATATTCATACGAAATTTTTTGAATGCATTTCCCATCGGCTAAGAAAGAACTGATTATTGAACGAGAAATGAACAAAATTTTGTCTTGCTTTTCCCGGTCAATTAAAAAAAACTCACTGAATGCCTAATTAGGACGTGTATAATGTATACACGCAGTACTAAGACAATAATGAGATGATAAACCACATTAAGCTTCAGCCTTCATTATCTGTTGTCTTAGTTGCATTTCACACGACTGAAATTCAATGCGGGCGGAGGTATGCAGTCTCTGAGTGCCCTCTAGTTACACAAGTATTTAGTGTTTTTTTTGGGACTGAATTTATTTTAATTTTGCTCATTTCTTTATCAGCAACTTCCACAAAACGGCTAACCGCCATTTTGCAAATTTCGGTTTTGTTATATTCATTTGTAAGTGAATATAACAGCTTATTACGTCAAATTTGACCAATCAACTGGTAGGATTCGTTACATCTACTTGTGCAAAAGTGCTAGTGTTGCTTATTAACTGCTGACTTTCACCTTCATTGTTAAGACACATAACATATTAACATAACATAATAAATTATCTTTTCACCGTCATTTTTAATGTTGTTTAGGTTCGTTCGTGTATGTGCAACACAACGGTTCGTCAAGTCAGTTCATTGTGAACTATGATTCCAGATTTGAGTTTTTCTTACGTGGTCTTGGGGAAGCATACGATGAGATTTCCTTAGAAAGAAAAGACTGGTTAACTGGGCAGTATGTACGCAGCGAAGCTCAGATGAATGTTGGATTGTATGAAAATTTTTACATCACTTTTACTGGAGTATATGATAAATGCAGATGTGCGCAAACTGGGCAACATCGCTTCAAAGTCAGGACTAATGGAGTGAACATCTCATACTATGATTTTGAAACACTTCGATTGACACGTGAGTAGAAACATGTACTGTATATTAGAATAATTTTAGCGCCGTTGTGACGTCTTTTGCGGGTAAAATGAACAAAACACATTTTAGCCCGCTGAATTTTAATTTGGTTACGTCCGGGGCCCAACTTGCGGAGAGGGGGCCCTGGCATGCTGGAATTGCGAAATTTGTTAAATTAAGAATTTGTTCGGTGAATTATGGAATTTTCTGGAAAATTTAGGTCGAAAACTAGTGTTGCGAAAAATTTTGGGAACTTTTGTTTTTGGAAACATAACGTCGACCTCCCCCTGTCGCCAACATTGTACAACCAGGAGGCCCTGGAATGAAAGAGGGGCCCAAATTTTTTAATACACCTCCGTAAACAGATACTGCTTGGCACGGCCCTGATGTATCGCAAGGGATCAAAGGCAGCATACACAATTTGTTGAAGGAAAGATGCCCAGCTTTTTTTGGCCAGGTAACTTGCCCAATCGGGCAAGTAAGATAAAATGTTTACTAATTTACTTGCCCGTCATGATATTCACTTGCCCCGGGCAAGCAGGCAAGTGTTAAGTTACACCTCTGCCCACCCCTAATGTACATACCCTACCCTATTCGACTGTGAATTTTATTCAATTTCGGAGTTTGGCGGTTTACCGAGTCAAATCCGAGTCTAAGTGAATTGTCCGAGTCACTGCTTAATTAACTGTCTTTGTCGGTTCAATGACTTAGTACCCTATAAACCCTACTCCTAACCCTATTCGACTGTGAATTTTCTTCAATTTCAAGTAATTTATTAATAAAAACCTGGGGTTCTGGTATCGGCTTCACTGAAATTCATTACAACCAATTATGCACAACTGAATGGCTGGATCTATCTAGACTATCTTTGCAATGCAATTACTTTGTTGCCAGTGTTTACAGATCCATCCAAATAAAATTAAGATGAACTTTTTGACATCCATTACATTACAATGCATCCATATTATTCTGTTTACTCAGTCAGAATTGTAAAACTATATAACACTATTATAAACAGGAAAGAAATTGTAAGCAGATTGAGAAAATATACACTGAAATGTGGTCATGCACTACAGACGATTAATATATGAACATATCTTGAGGATATATAAAAATAAAACTTAAACAGACAATTAACATATTAATATATGTCTTGAGAATAATCTACACTTGTAGCTCTAAAAAGTGCTGGATTTATAAGCACACTGCTAAACTCTAGATTCTTGACAAACCGCTACACAAACATACAAAGCTAAAGGCATTTAGTACACTTTGACTCCTCGTATTAGGACATTGAATGAACTTATAAATGTTGTTTTGATCAATCGATTAGTGGCTATGCTAGTGCCTAGTGGACTGTTAATAAACTCATGAAACACTCCTATATTTATCGAAACTAAAAAGTTTAACGCTTTTATGTATGTCAACAGAAAGAAATAAAACCATCCTTACCTGAATTATTCTAAATATTGTAGATCGTTTAATTTGCATCCATATTAAAAAGCTCGTATTAAAATCTTGAGAATTGAAAGCATGGTGACTGTGCGCAAAACAAAATATAATTATATTTGCCCGCCCTCTTCATTTAAAAAATGTCCCTGAAGCTTAATTATTTCCCCCTGGAAAAATGGACAGACAGACAAACAGACACAAGTCGAGGTCTCGACAATACATAGGTCGCGCGAAAGACTGGGTCGAAAGGACTCTGGGGAAACCCTAGGACGGCAAGAATAGTGTGCTGCCTCGCTGACGCTCGGCAGCAAATAGAACATTTATAGTACGCGAGCGTTGATTGGTCGAGAAGCGTGTTTCTACACGGGAAATTTCCCGCCTAAACTTACAATCGTAAACAAAACAATTTTAATGCAAATTAAGAAACGTTGAAAACAATTTTAACTACGCAGCTCACTTTGTAACTATTACAGTCAAAGTACAAAAACCTTCCCACTTCCGCTTATAGCTTGTTTTGAATTTTAATAATTTGCTCTATTTTTTTCTGTTGTGATTATCGCTTTATCGGCAAATATCGCGGTAGAATTTCCCTTTCTTTTCTTTATATAGGTCAATTTGCATAGCAAAGGATACACCTTTCGTTAGATTCTTTGCATAAAAGTTGGGAAATTAGGCTTATAGCGATATTTGCTGATAAAGGCAAAAAGCGATAATCGCTACAGAAAAATAGAACAAATTACAGAAATACAAAACAAATCACAGAAGCGGAAGTGGGAAGGTTTTTGTATTTTGACTGTAATTTTCAAACAAAGTTCTTTCTTGCAGTGAAATTGATGGAGCAAAAGTCGGCATTATTACGTAATGAGAATTTGTAAATATATCGAGTCTACTGCAAATCTTTTTTTAGTTATTTTATGAAATAAATATAAAACATTTATTATGTGTGACCCATACAGTTATAGAAACACTTGCAGTAGTTTGGGAGAACTCGAATAACGTGGAAAACTCGCCCTAAGCCTATAGAATATAGGTCTCGTTTTCCCACTCATTATATCCAGGCATTATGCTATGTTTGTAGTAATAAGGCTTGTCAAAAAGCAGTTGAAATTTTCAATAACCGCAAACCTGTAGACGCTCAGAAATGCCAAGATTGCATGTGATAAACCTTTTTTTCTTATTATGAAATGTCACTCGCTCCAGGTTTCGAAGTGAAGCAGCGCAAATTATTAAGTACGACTCATGAAAAGCACGCCTGTCTAAATCAAAATTAGAAGTACGCCTATTTTACTCGAGTAAAATATGAATTAAGTTCGGCTCATGAAAAGCACGGCGTCTAAACCGGGCCTAAGTGAGGCTAAGAGATCATTATTCATGGCCAACTCAACCTCTTCTATAGTTTCTCCAGCTGCAGTAAGATTCATGTCATCGGCAAACAGCCGATGACTAACTTGTCTTTAGAAGACAGATTTATGTATAAGAGAAACAAGAGTGGGCCAAAAATGGAGCCTTGTGGGATACCGCATGTAACACGACTCTCAGAATTTATTACGTCACCAAGTTGACATTTCTGTTTACAGTCGGTTAAATAAGATTTAATCATAGACAACGCATTTCCGGTGATACCGTATAACTCCAATTTACGCACTAGTATATCATGGTTGACAGTGTCAAAGGCCTTCTTTAAGTCAAGAAATACTACTAAATTAAACATTTTACGGTCCATGTTCATATACCAACTATTTGTAAAATCTAGAAGTGCCGAAGCGGTCGAATGAAACTTACGAAAACCAAACTGGTGGTCAGATAGTAACAAATTCTCATTAAGATATTCATATAACTGGTCGTACATAATTCCTTCCATTAGTTTACTTATTGATGGCAAAATTGAAGTTGGTCTATAAGAGGCAGCAGCCTTGCCACTTTTCATTCAGATGGAAAGTGGCTAGAGATAAGCGCATGATTGAAAATATAAGTAAGTGAGGAGGCAATAGAACAGGCTGCAGCTTTTAATATCTTCGGTAATCTTCCCTGATATTTTATCAAGGCCTGTTGCCTTAGATCAAAGCCCGTGGCTTTTGGGCACCTCGTGGCCAATTTTGAGTTTAAACGGAGTTCGTAAACATGCCATGTTCTACTGGGTGTACAAAAAAAAACAAGACTTTTGGAAATCAAGCTATTTTTGGAATTTGAATGTATCGTACTATGCTGGAACCACGGGTGCGTAAAGAAAGGACGCTGGGGGGGGGGGGATAACGAGGAACGACCAATGTATAGATGTAAGGGTTGGAAGCAGAATGAAGGCAAAAGGAGACAGCGAATAAGAAAAACGTTGGTACGCGAAAAGTAGGAATGAATCGGTCATATTCGTTCCTGCAACACCAAGGTGAAAACCACAGAAGGAATGAGAGATCCAGGGGTCAGGGTTGAAAATCAAGGTAGTTGAGAGAACAGGAACGACAATAAAGAGTATGGTGCAGGGATCGAATCCTTTTAAACAGAATCCTTTTAAACAGAGAAGCTGTAATAAACAACACTGTTTGGTAATGCAGAACGGGAGGGAAAAGCTTGTGTTGTAGAGCTGGAGTGACCTACGGAATTCGTTACGAAACACCCCCAGATTCTTTGCTAACTCCGTTGAGGTTCAATTAGAAAGTTTATCACGTGGTACATAAAATCAATCCCGCGCGTGCAAATCTTGAGGGAGCAATTTACTATTGAATTTATTTACAAATAGGGTTTAAACTACAATATTCAGAATTATAATGCTGAGCTTTAGAGTCACACCCCTATTGTTAGTATATATATTTGACTAATTCGAGTCAATTTAATAACTGTATGACCCTTTGTAACTACCTAAAGTGTACTTTTTAGCAATATTTCCTTGTTCCTAACAAGCATTTTTAAAATTTGCAATCTATGTGGTTTTACACCCCCAGACAATTTATGACTTATGAAGTGTAGTCCAGTGATCTCTATATGTATCTGGAACAAGAACTTCAGTCATTCAGTCTACGAGAAAAGTGAAGCCAAGATAGCGGACATTCACGTCCAATAGCCATGAAGGCACTGTATATAGTTCACTGCATGAAGGTCGTACCCATTTTACCCAGCTGATTCCAGTTTTTCCTAACGGATCGTATCGCTAAACAAGTTATCAGTTCATAAAACCATAGTGATATTCTTTAAATCGATGGCACATTCTTTGCCAAGATGGCGGAAATTGAAGAGCTGTAGCACGTCAGTTTCAGTCCCTTTTTATTGTTTTTGTCCGCGCGGTTAACACGAAGCTGGCTTTACGTTTTGGACGCGAATTCTCGCTCCAGATATATATAGAGCTCACTGGTGTAGTCACGCATGACAAATGTAGATCAGATACTCGTGCTTTATATATAACATTTTTTTTTTAATTTTCAGAGCCCGATCCACCTGAGTCTGTTACAGTAACACATAACGGTACCAGTCGTGCTCAAATCACGTGGAATTCTCCAGGATGTAACGAAGGACCAATAAGAGGCGTTCGTGTCTCATTCTACCATGGTAACTCGAGCACACCAACTTATTTTCAGTCCAATGACACGACGTGGAACTCCTCCACTGGCGCAGGATCTTTTATTATTAACGATTATGAATTTGAAGTTAATGAGGGGTATAATTGGACGGTAGCTGTACTCTATGATTACGGAGATGTAACTATTTGGAGTCAGGAAAGTTCTCTTGTCTCGACAATGATCTCGGGTATGTAAAATTCTGCTCACATAACTAAAGTTATGGCAGTTTCAGAGCCACCAGTTTCAGAGGTGGAAGTCAGTGCTGTAAGTAACTTCATTACCACTAACGAAATTACAAGTAATTGTTACTTTTTTAAGTAACTGTAACAGTAACTAGTTACGTTTTGAAAAGAGGTAACTGTAACTAGTTATATTTTGGCTTAAAATGGAACGATAACGCGTTACTTCTTTTTACAGTAATTTGATTGAACTCACTGCCAATGTAATTAGTTAAACAAGTTACAAAAAATTCAAAGTAACTTTGTAACGGTAACTAGTTACATTTCAACCTCGTACCCAGGGCCATTTTACCTCAACGGTACTGACGTCGAGGTAAAATGGCTCTGGGTACGAAGTTGGTTACATTTTTATGTGTTGTTAACTTGTTGCGGTAAATAGTTCCTTTTTTGAGCGTGTAACTGTAACTAGTTCCAAAAAATAAGTAACTTTTGAAGCGCTGGCGGAAGGACTATTTGTACCACTTGTAGAGTTGTGTTTTATCATATTTAAAATGCGAGGGTGCAGGCCAAGCACAATGGATGCCGTTTCATTAATAAAGAATTCTAATTACGATGAGCTTTATAAAAAGAATACATACTAATAATAAAGATGAGTTTATCAGGTATAAGGCCACTTTTTACGTGACATATTTTCATTGTTGTATCGGATGTATTGTGAAATGTCTTGATGAGAACATTCGTATTCTTCAACAATTTAAATTAATGAATGATATTTGGTGTGAAAATTGAACACAATGTTTATGTAAAAATTGGCATGATTTCGTATCAGATATACAAATTCCTTCATGAATTATTGATGAGTTTCACAAGTATTTAAAATAACTCTTATAATTCTCTGTATTGACATTTTCATTGACAGATGCATTCGACGTCAAAATATCATTACATGATGACAATTCTTTCGTGGTCAAACCAGGAAATGATGGTACTTACAAAATCGAACTTGGGCTAAGCATAATAATATCTTGTACTGTAGTCTCCATCACTCGACCTCAGAGAACATGGAGTAAACGCACTTATCAAGGATATGAAGCTGTTCAAAGCCAAGAGTTCCAGCCAGAATTTTCATCGTCAGGCTTTGGATGGATAAGTACCATAAATATTCCACAGTTTAACTACACTGATTCTGGTAATTATAATTGTTCTGGGACAGCAGGGAGTAATTACAGCATTGATTATGCAACAATATCTGTATATGGTAAGTAAATAGCATAATTATTTTCTCTTTGTTTTTTTAGCTTTTCCCTTCTTCTATTCATCTCCGTTATTTCTCTTTTCATCTCTGCCTCCTTTGATTTTACCTACCTTATCACTTTCAATCCTTGCACATACCCCTCCCTCCCCCCTTCTACCTCCTGTTTACCCCAATCCTTTCTTCCCTTCTTCAATATCCATTCTTTCTTTCCATACTTCTTTCTCTTCTTCCTTTCTTATTTTCTTTCTTTACTTTCATTCTCCCCTCCTTTCTTACTTTCTTGCTTCTTTCCTACCGTTCCCTTGCTTCTTTCCTACCTATTCCTTTTTTACACCTACCGTTCTGTCAGTTTCCCGTCCCTTGCTTTTTCTTCCCTTCTACGAAGGTACTACCTACCTACGTCCTTATCTTCCTTTGATCCAACTTTTTTCCCACCTCCACTAACCAGCGCCTCTTCCCTCCTTTCTTTGTTTCATCTATATCTGCTTTCCATCACCCCTCCTTTTTTCCACTACCCCGGGCACTAATCTCACCCATGCTTTCTTTACCATTTTAGCACCTGTGATTCTTATAACGACGTCAATAATGCCAGAAAACTATACCATTCCATACAACTCAACGTTCAACGCAGAAATTATCCTGCAGGGTTTACCAACCTTTAATAGGGACTTTCAAATCGTTGATTGGCGAACTGAAAAGTTCAGCTCGATTGAAGGACAAAGATTTGTGGATATTGATGGTTATTTGAAAGTTACAGCTCAGTACAACTCGTTCAAATGTTCAAACACAGGAATTCATCGCGCTGTCCTCGAGATGGAAGATTATTCACAGTTCCAGTATGAACTACCAAGTCCATTGCTTATTTCAGGTATGCTCATTACTAGAATTTCCTAGAAAATTACCACTATCTATTATTTTGATATGGATATGATATGCCTTCGTATTTATGGTGATCTTATTTTTTCACAGACCCAGACCCTCCACAAATTACTTCAGTAACAAGCATGTCACAATCTACAATAAAACTAACATGGAGTGCAGGTCAATGCAACATGGGTTATCCTAGGGAAATCTCCATTACTGTATTCAAACGAAATGGTGATCTTCTAAAAGAAAGCATTTTGAATGTCACCAGTTATAATGAAAGTACTGGTGTCGGTGTTACGTTGGTTGAAAAAGGACAGGATTTTAATGAATCTTACACTGAGTGGATCATTAAAGTGTCATATAATGGTACCACTGAACCAGTTTGGAGTCGACCGTCACTGGCTTACTTTGCTACAGTGTCTGGTATGTAAGGAACTTCAATGACAACCAAACTAAATCAAACTGATCGATTATTAGAGTAATCAAATAATCGATCATTTTAAATAAAAACCATCTATATTATTTTTCTTTGACAGACAGCATAACTATCAGTTTTCAGTCTACTTCATCATCCAGCTTTTCTGCACGCATAACTCTAGTGGGTCATCAAATCAAGAGGAACGAATCAGTCACCATCACATGTCAGACCTCAGCTGCAGAAACATCATCAAACTTTACGTGGTCCAAGAGAACATTTGGAAATCGTTCAGCATTAAGTGGCAATAATATCAGATCCTGGAATGAAGACGAATATTTGTATGGTTCTCTGACTTTGGATTATTTTGATTATAGTCATTGTGGAGTATACAGTTGTGAAGTGAACATTGGGAATAAGCTACAAGAAGTAGAAATGCCGCTCAGTATAGAAGGTACTGTACATGCACCTGTACTACTTTGTATACCATGCCGATAGTCAATTGAACAATGTAACTGTGCCGAACAGCAAGATGGGTTTACCTAATTTGAATGATTTTACCGGTTTATAAACTAAAAGTAGTCTATCACTATGAGATAATTTTTCTTTTCTCAATTCCCTGAGGCAGACATGTACACTTTGTTGGGTTTGCATGTAATTTATAGGCGACAATACACAGAGATTTTCAAATTAGCGAGAAACAAGTGATGTTTGTAAGTAAAATTATGCTTCCACTGCGGGTCTAAAAAGCAGCTCAAAGGGTTGCAAATTACATGGTGCAGGTCACATGCTGGTCACAGGTCGCAAATCATGTGGTGCAGGAATTCGACATTCTGTTGTAGCATGTGTTTGTCAACGACAACATATTTTTTAATTTGTCTTAATTTATGCAATTTTTTGAAGTACAGTCAGGGACGTTTGCTAATTTGTTCCTCTGGCTGCTTTAAACTGTATATTAAACAAGGTAATTTCTTAAAGTTTATTATTTGCTTTAGTCCGTATTGTGGGGCTTTAAATTTTAATGTTTAGTAAAAAAGATGTTATTTATTTATTTGATTTTGCCCAATATTATCGCAAACATTGTTATTAGCAAAGTCCCTAACTGTACATCAAACAATTGTAACTTAAATTATGCCCTCGTGCAGACAAGTATAGGGACTACATGTATCAACATTCAACGTATTGTTTACAAACTTGTAGTCCAGAACCACAATAGAGCGCAGAATTTCTGCACCTACATGCACAACATGTCACTTACGACCTGCGCCATAGGACATGTGACCTGCGTTTTAGACCCACCGCTTCTTTCACGCCCTGTCCTTTTATGTCTTCAAATATTTCTGTCAAGAAAATATTTCATCACAGCCTAACAATACAGTACGTCTAGGCTATTTTTGCTTCATATTGATTTAAAGCGCTGTATGACTTAATTTTATAATTATGCAGATATGATAAATGCTCACCACTTGCTACGATTCCTACGAGGCGATTCTCAAATCATTTTACCCCACAAAATGTCTCATTTCCGTTGCACTCTTCGGGCTTGATTTATTGGTTGTGACAACCTAACACCACAATCATTAGATTTAAGGTTATAAGATATATACAGATATCGAAGGAAGTAGACTAATTCCCGAAATATCACCTGCAGTACTTCAACTGACTTGACTTTGTGACACAGTTGGTAGAACAATGAACTAGCAAACCAAAGGTGGCTGGTTCGACTCCCACCGCAGTGAAGCAATTTTTGCAGCTTGCCCAATGTGGAGATAAAGTAAAGTAAAGTAAAGTAATATAGTAAAGCTCAGTGTGTCCGCCGCGGTGTGAATGTAAGCAACCTAGGAATCAGATGCTTCTTGTCAGGCTAAAAAGAAAACACATTGATCTTTTGATTAAAGGCCCCTCGTCAGGAGTAGTAGTATTATATAGTAAAAGATCCTATTGAGGTGCGGTCGAAGTATAATTATGTGCTATTATCTTTAAAATATTTGGACCTCTAAATTGATAGGCATCTCATACGCAGTCTGGTTAATTAAGGTCTTGTATTCCCAGGACCACTATATGAATAAAATATGTGTACGTCTATTTCAGCACCTATCCTTGCCGAATATGTAGCCAAGAATTTGAATTCAAAAGTACACCATGGTAGTCTGAGAACAATCAAGTTTTTATTACTCGGCTATCCCCAACCACAAACATATGCTGAACGATTGGATCAACCCGAAAGCTACTGGAGGAATTATACAGATTATCTACCAGTTTTGAACGAAGACATTTATTGGACGGTGGAGCTGAGAAGTAACTTAACTTGTGCAGACACTGGTCTTATCCGTCTGGTGATCTTAGATCAGAATATGATAAATGTAGTCAACGTAGAGGGGCGAACACCACTGATTGGTAGGTATCATAACCTTGCAGGCAAAATCCAATTTGAGTATACCTACCATCTAACAGTCATCATTGCAGTATAGTTGGGTCTCATACGAGGCGGCAGATAGTGATAGATCTTAGATGTGAAGAAAGTTGTAGGGGCAAGCAAATCAAACTAAATGTCTTTATTTATATGCCAGCAAATACAAGGCTACTAGATATAGTAAATAGAAATATACATTCTTTTCTCACTCCGGCAAATGCATGTTGACCCCATCTGCATAATAGTACTTAGTGAAAACCACTTATACTATATGATGTCTGCCAACATGTTCAACAGGCATTAAAAATTGGCATCTTTTTGTTATAATATTTCTAGATCCTGACCCGCCTACTGTCATATCTGTGGAGTACCTTTCTGAATCACATGCAAATGTAACGTGGAAAGCAATAAGATGTAACTTTGCTAGTGTGAAGAAAATAAACATTCAACAAAATGGCAGTAGTGTGCTTTCATATGCAGATACAAACTGGAACAACGATACTGAAATTGGTTATCAAATAGTGGAGAATATAACGGTTGTGGAGCATCAAACTTATTTTTGGAATGTTAGTGTTGTCTATGGCGAAGGTGTGGAAGAAGCCACGAGTCAGTCAAGTCCAGTTTTTGAAGCTCCTGTTGTTGGTAAGCTAAGAGTTGGGGTTAAGTATTGGCGATGGTGGCAATGATGATGGTAAAGGTGATGATGGTGCTGATGAAGATGTTTAGTAATTCCATCAGTCTGAGGACTGTTCACCATGGTGGTGGTGATGATAATTGTGATGGTGGTGTTGATAATGGTGTTGATTATGGTAGTCATTATAGTCATGGTTATAATGATGGTGAAGGCTAAATGTTGTGCTGATACTGGCGCTGGCGCATTATACATTCATTATATGTTCGTTTTTAGATGTTAATGAATGCTTCGAAGAAAATTCTTGTGATGTCAATGCAACTTGCATCAATAAAATTGGTACTTATGACTGCCAGTGTAACGTTGGATTTTCTGGAAATGGATTTAACTGTTCAAGTAAGTGAGTTCACACATCACACCAGGTTAGGCAGATATGGATAGGTATAGAATATATTTTCCAATCCAGCTTTTTTGGAGAAGGGAATGTACTGGAAATGCCAATGCAAATTACAGTTGTCATTCACAGCTGTTACCACCAGCTTAGGGCCATCCCAACTAACGACTGGGGCAACAATAATTAAAATTAAACCAAGAAAAGTACCAAAATTTTATATAGAAACATGAATATATTCTGTGATTTCCAAACCAAAAACACACTAAAAACTATAATTTTTCCCTCGAGCACACTTTCATCCGGGAATTTTCGGAACTTATCCCCGGGACCCCGTACGCGTTCGTATTTCGCATAATAAACAAATATGAATATTTAAATCAGTCTGAAATCCTCACCCCGTGATCGTTCGTCATTAGGAGGACGATCACTCCTCGAGTGTTGCAATCTTTGTGGCTGGTCTCCTGAAGACTCCAAACTTCGTTTTCACATCAACACTGCGTACTATCTTGTCAGAACCTCGGTATACTTCGATGATTCTTCTCAATGGCCACGTACCGCGCGGAGTAGAATAATCAACCACAATAACCAGATCTCCAACTTTAAGATTCGGTACGTCTTGCGTCCACTTTGCCCTTTGAACAAGAGCAGGCAAATATTCTCTTAACCAACGTCCCCATAAGTGATTTGTAACCACTTGCGCTTGTCTCCAACGCTTACGACTCGATATCTCTTTATCAACGAATACACCAGGCGATAAGTTTATACTAGGACGTCCTAAAAGGAAATGATTTGGCGTAATCGCTTCCATTGCATCAACATCGGAGCTAACTTCGGTCAGAGGGCGATTGTTTACTAATGATTCCACTTCTGCCATTGTAGTTGCCAGGACTTCATCGGTCAACACTTGTTTCTTTAACACTGCTTTGAATGTTGTCTTACACGAACGCACTAGTCTCTCCCATGCTCCTCCCATGTGAGGTGATGCTGGGGGGTTGAATACCCATTTTGTTCCCTTTTGACTAAGTTCCTTAGCGATTTGACATTGATTCCAATTTTCAATTCACTCCTTGAGCTCCCGATCGGCTCCCACGAAATTTTTTCCATTATCCAAATAGATGACTTGAGGATTACCTCTCCGTGCCACAAACCTTTGGAGATACATAATAAGAGAGTCAGTTTCGAGAGAGAATGCTACTTCCAAATGGACCGCTCGTGTCACGAGACAGGTGAAGAGGCAAATGTACCTTTTAAATGCTTTCTTTCATATTTCACCTGTAGCGGGCCAAAGTAATCAACGCCAACTTTCGTAAACGGAGGACTCACCAACAACCAGTCGCGTGGCAAGTCAGCCATTATCGGTGGACGTGGCACTGTACGGCGTAGTTTGCACAACCAACAACTATGAAGATTCTTCTTAACCGTGGCTTTACAGCGAAGGATACAGAACTGCTGTCGAAGCTCGTTTCGAACATTGTCCACTCCCGCGTGTCTAAGCTTGTGGGTATCCATGACAATTAGTTTGGTTAGATCACCACTAGAATCCAATACGATCGGATGCCGAGTAACAAAAGGTATAGCAGCTTTCCCAATGCGACCACCAACGCGTATTATGTCATCTTCGTCTAAGAAGGGCAAAGATACTAATTTACTTTGCTTGTGCACAGGACGTCCACGTTTAAGCTCTCTAAATTCCGAAGTGAATGTTGTAATTTGCTCTTGGCGAATGAGAATTTTCATTGCTTTTTCGAGCTCTTCGACTAACGGACTACCAAACGTTCTTTCAGACACGGGTACTTTGCAGTTACGCAGAAATCGTTGCACATACACTATAACAGTCAAGGCGCGAGAGTACGAAGAGTACCTGGCAAGGTTAACTAGTTCTTACGGTTCACTCTGAGCTGTCGTTTTCCCGGTAAACTGAACATCGCTTTCTGTAACAGCCACTGGAATGTTATCGTTGACCACCCGGTTTGTAACGTCTTCCGGCCATTGTGACTCATCAAGCAATAGGAACTCGGGTCCCGTAAGCCATTGACTACTTGTCGTAATGGATAAAACTGGCAGCCCTCGAGTACCATCGTCCGCTGGGTTCAACTTGCTTGGGCAGTAATGCCGCTGACTGGCTTCTGTCGCATCCAAAATCTCACTTAGCCGATTTGCGATAAATGACGGATGTCTTGTCGAGTCCCACGCATCCAATGCAGTACAGTTGTGCTGTCAGACCAAACGTGAATCGAGCTAAATTTATAGTCATGCTCTTTGATAATCACACTCGCTAATCTCACACACAGGACTGCAGCTTGCAACTCGAGTCTCGATATGCTTAACTTCTTTGTTGGTGCAACACGATCACGAAAACACACTTAACTGATCCATCTGCATACTTAAACCGTAGGAATCCAACCGAGCAAAACGCTAGTTCACTGGCGTCCCCAAAGATGTGGACTTCAATATCTCCTGGGTATTCATCGACCTGTCTATGGAATCTTGGAACAGAAAATTCCCTGATCATGAGCAACTTCGCTTCCCATAGTTGCCATTCTTCCAACAGATCTTGTGGTAGATGGTCGTCCCAAGCCAATCCAAGCTGCCAGACTCTTTGAAGAAGAATCTTTGCTCTCACCAAAAATGGCGCTAAGAAGCCAAGAGGGTCGAACAGTGATGCCATGATACCTTAAAGTTGCCTTCTGGTTTGGGCTGAAGGTCTTTTCTTGACAATGAACACAAAATTATCTCTTTGTGTGTCCCAACCAACACCGAGTGCTCTCTCAACAGGCATATCCATACACTCGTTCATTGTCTTAACAGATACAGCTCGTTCGATTTCCGGTACCTTCTCAATTACATGGCGATCGTTGGAAATCCACTTTGTTAGACGAAACTTTCCCCTCTGGCACAGCTCAACCAATTCATTGCAAAGCTTAATAGCTCTCGTTACCGAATCAACAGACTTAAAGAAGTCGTCCATGTAGAAATTACGTTCAACAGCAGCGGCTGCATCAGGAAATTCGTGTTCGTTATCCTTGGCATTTCGACAAAGTGCATAATTAGCACAGGTAGGAGCACACTTAGCTCCGAATATATGCCTTTGATATTCGTAAGTTTCCGTGTCCGAGTAAGTAGAATCACGCCACAAGAAACGTAGTACCGGTTGATTCTCTTTCGGCACAGCGACTTGACTAAACATTACTTCAATGTCCGCCGATAAAATGCAATCTTTTCTTCACGGAATCTCATAAAAATTCCTGTTAAGGAATTAAGTAGATCAGGACCAGTTATAAGATGATCGTTAAGTGAGGATCCTTGATATCTACAGGCAGCATCGCAAACTCGTTTAACCTTTCCAGGCTTATTTGGATTCAAAACCGGATGATGCGGTAAATACCATTGCTTCTCTTCAGTAGCACCTTCATTAAGAACAACCCTTTTAACATATCCTTTCTCCAGGTCGCTATGGATAGTCTCTTTGTATGCTTCAGCCAGGTTCGGATCACGTTGTAATCGCCTTTCCAACAATGCAAGGTGATGTTCAGCTACTGTTCGATTATTCTGCATAGATCCACCATTCTTCTTCCAGAGGAGTGGAACTTCATATCTACCATCGACTTTCTTTGTTGTCTCTTCCAGGATCCTCATTGCATTCTCATCTTCAACCGACCTTTGGGTTTCCACGTCATACTTGCATCCAAATTCCTCAGTACGCCACCACGACTTTACTTGGTTGTGAAGCTCTTCATCAGGTGAACAAACATAAGTATGGAAGATACCCTGGGATGTCCGAATATAACCAGGAAGAGGTCCAGTTATCGTCCAACCAAGCTTTGTACGAATTCCAACTGGAGTTCCTCTAGGACCACATCGTGTCTCAATGGGTAAGATAATGTCTAGACAGTCACCACCAATAAGCAACGAAACATCACAACTACTCGCTTCCGGGATGTCTATTTCCTTTAGATGCGGCCATTTAGACTTTACATCCACCAAGTTCACCTTCTGCTGGGCGATATTCAAGTGCTCAACAACCAATGCTCCATTCACTTCAAAACGTGGTCTCGCCATATTGACTGCACTTACTTGAGTATTAACTCGTCTCGAATTTAGTTCAGAAGTTCCCTGAATTCCATTCAGGATAATTCGTTCCTCTGAACCTTCCAAACCAAACTTTTCAGCAACACTAGATAAGACCAAACTGCATGTACTACCACTGTCCAACATTGCATGGGTGTTCAAATATTCATTTGGACCATGTAGAGTGACAGGTGTAACCATACCCCTTTTGACCTGCGAACATTGTTTACTTTCAAACGTTGCTCCAATGTTCTCTTCTCTTTCAGGTGGTTTATTTCCAGAGCCAGGTTCCTTATTTTCCATTCTGTGCAAAAGACTGTGATGATATCCTTTGCAACCATTTATTTGACATTGCTTTCTTACAGGACATTTGTTTGACCAATGTTCCTTACTTAAACATCAAAAACACAGTCGATGTTTCCTAACTTCCACAAGTCGGTCTTCGACAGGTAAACTCTTAAACTTCGCGCATTCACTAAGGCTATGTTTACTTCCATCCAACATTATGCATGATAACACAGTTTGATTTTCTCCTCTATTTGATGGGCCATACTGCTCTTGAAATTCTTCTTTGATGACCTTGCACACTCATCATAAATATCAGCTTGCCCCTTGAGCCAATCTGGGAAATGGCTCAAGTTTGGACGGTCTAGTTTGCCATCCTTGACATGTTCTTTCCATTTTAGTAGCAGTTCATTTGATAACTTGTATGTAGCCAACGACAGGTTTGCTTCCGCATTAATATCACTCACATAACCAAATCTTGACAGCGTCCATACAGTAGTTGACACAACATCAGAGTAGCTTCGAACACTTTCTGGATCATTATCTTGTAAGCGATTGAAGGTTCTCAACTTACCAAGAGTGGCTTTGATGACTAATGATGGTTTACCAAATCTGGATTCCAGCTCAGACAGTGCTTTGTTATATGAATCACCACTATAGCCATACCCTTCGATTGAAGTCTTAGCTCTACCCGTAACTGAATTCTGCAAATGCTGCATTTTGGCATTTAGGGATAGGTTTGCATCACCAACCATTGATTTGAACATAGAAGACCAATCAAGCCACTTAAGAGAGTCCCAATCAAAAGTGGATAATTTTAATCTTGGCAGATTATTAGAGCTGGGTTGAACATATATACTTGGTACACTATTTCCACTAGGAAGTTTCTGACCAACTTGACCGTTTAATGTTCTTTTAAGAGTAGCATTTTCAGCAACTTTCACTGGTGCTGATTTTTCTGTTATATTCCTCAGAGGACTTTGCTGATGTACTGTTGGAGGTTGTTCTTTATCATTTGGTTCATTTTCAAAGTCACGTAGTCTGTTTGACAAACTTTCTGGGTTGTCCTCTTTATTTTCCAGGATCTCTGCTTCCGCCCTTAGACGCATCCATTCATCCTTCGCTTGCTGGACCTTTCGTCTTTCATCAGCCTCGAGTTTTGCTCTTTCAGCTATTACTTTAGCCATAGCTACATTTTTCTCAAGTTCTAATTGTTTTCCCAACTCTTGTTTTCTTTTCTCTTCTTCTTCCATTAATTTTTAGCCTTTAAATCTGTGGCAAAGGCTTTCGCATGAACTTCAATTCCTTTTCCACTTGATTTTGAACTACATGTCATTACAGATTTTGAACTTATTAAGTTCGGTATTTGCGAATTTTCTTGCATGCCAGGAAATGTTCCTGCGACTGAGGATACTTCATGTAAGCGCCCCTCAAGATGACTTTCAGCCTCTAATTTGGCATCATTGACTCTTTCTAATTGTTCTTCATACCAGATTAAAACAGCTTCATGCTCACTTTCATGTACCAGAGCGAGAAGTTGAGTATTAAGTGCCTCAGCCTCTTTTAAATATTCAGATAAATTAGTCACATACCATTTTATTATTGTCTTGCTATCAAATTTCGATACAAGTCCCTCCAATTTACGTAAAGTTGTAGTTATTCTCCTCTTAACTACCGATCTTTTACTTCGAATACATGTTTCTTCCAAGAAACGCTACCAAATTCACTTTCAACCACACGATTTGCTTCAGAACCATGAACAGACATATTTATATCCTACAAATAATTCCACTATACCAATTCAATCCGACGTAGAAGGACCATTTAATGTTACCACCAGCTTAGGGCCATCCCAACTAACGACTGGGGCAACATTAAATGAAATTAAACTAAGAAAAGTACCAAAATTTTATAAAGAAACATGAATATATTCTGTGATTTCCAAACCAAAAACACACTAAAAACTATAATTTTTCTCTCGAGCACACTTTCATCCGGGAATTTTCGGGGCTTTTCCCCGGGATCCCGGGTCCCCGTACGCGTTCGTATTTCGCATAATAAACAAATATGAATATTTAAATCAGTCTGAACAACAGCATTGGTGATATGAGCTAAAATCTTGTAACTTAAAAGGAATGATGTGTTTTGTTTTGTAAATGAAATATTTTAACCACAAACATATGTCTATGAAATGAAAACACAAGTTGTAGATGTCCACTTCTCTGTTTCATAAGGAATCCTGTTGAATTATTGTTGTTGAAGTATCCAGTAAAAACTACATAACTCACGCTTTGTCATGTGAAATTGTTTTTCGTTTAGATGGTCTGATTCTCTAATAATAGATTTACAACACTACCACTAAACGTGTTTGTCTTTGATTTTATATTGGTGGGAAATTACCAGCAAGCTGGCATGATAACTATACAAACCATGCACTCATTGTTACATATGTTGTCAAAGTAAATAACGAATAATAATTTGAAAACCAATTTTTTTTTCGTAAAGTCATAAAAACGAGATTCCTCAGTAACAATGGCAATGCTAAGAAAAAATAGTTAATTTAATACTGTACACTTTTCCCTTTAAAAAACATAGTATAATTGTGACTGCAGCCTGTCCAGTTTTTATCACAAATGGCAATCCGAAAAACAATGGCGTCTCTTGTCCATTCTTCTTGATTGTTTATAATTCAGTAATTCATTTCCTGCTCATTAAGTAATTCATTGTAATCTTTAATTTCCTAGACATAGATGAATGTTTGACTAAGCCATGCCATGTTAATGCCAGTTGTACTGACAGTGAAGGTTCTTTTCTTTGTGAATGTCATAGTGGGTATACTGGAAATGGATTTAATTGTTCTAGTAAGTAGATATTTTGTTTCTGTGTCTAAAATTTTGTACCTTTTACTAATTCCTTGTTTTTTATTGTTTCTATTAATTTTCTAGACATTGATGAATGTGTGACCAACCCATGTCATGTCAATGCTAGCTGTATGGACAACGAAGGTTCTTTTGTTTGTCAGTGTCACGTTGGGTATTCTGGAAATGGATTTAATTGTTCTAGTAAGTAACACTTTCATTTCTGTGTTTACAATTTTGAACTTTTGCGGTAATCATATATTGTTTGTTATTTTTATTATTTTCTCTAGACGTTGATGAATGTTTGACCAACCCATGTCATGTCAATGCCAGTTGTACTGACACCGAAGGTTCTTTTGTTTGTCAATGTAACAGTGGGTATTCTGGAAATGGATTTAATTGTTCCAGTAAGTAAATATTTCATTCATGTATCTAAAATATTGTACCTTTCTATTAATCACTTATTGTTTGTTATTTCTATTATTTTTCTAGACATTGATGAATGTTTGACCAACCCATGTCATGTCAATGCCAGCTGTATGGACAACGAAGGTTCTTTTGTTTGTCAGTGTCACGCTGGGTATTCTGGAAATGGATTTAATTGCTCTAGTAAGTAACTCTTTCATTTGTTTTTTTTTCTCAAAAAACATGCCTGGCCACGGTGGGAATTGAACCTACGAATACTAGCCCAATGCTCTCATACCAACAGAAAAAATTCATGATTACTAGATTACATTGATATCGAAGGAACTAGACTCAGTTCCGAAATATCACATACTCGAACCGACCTGACCGCGTAGCTCAGTTGGTAGAGCATTGGGCTAGTATTCCAAAGGTCGAAGGTTCGATTCCCACCGTGGCCAGGCATGTTTTTCGGGCTTGCCTGGTGTGGATATACACTCAGAGTAACATCATAAGCATCTTTCATTTGTGTGTCTACAATTTCGAACTGCTGCGGTAATCATTTATTGTTTGTTATTTTTTATTATTTCCTCTAGACATTAATGAATGTTTGACCAACCCATGTCATGTCAACGCCAGCTGTAGTGACACCGAAGGTTCCTTTGTTTGTGAATGTAATAGTGGGTACTCTGGAAATGGATTTAATTGTTCTAGTAAGTAATCTTTCATTCATACATAAAGTGTTGTACCTTTCTACTAATCACATATTGTTTGTTATTTCTATTGTTTTTTTCTAGACATTGATGAATGCTTGACCATCCCATGCCATGGCAACGCCAGCTGTATAGACAACGAAGGTTCTTTTGTTTGTCATTGTAATAATGGGTATTCTGGAAATGGATTTAATTGTTCTAGTAAGTAAATATTTCATTCATGTATCTAAAATGTCGCACCTTTCTATTAATCACTCATTGTTCGTGATTTCTATTATTTTTCTAGACATTGATGAATGTTTGACCAACCCATGTCATGTCAATGCCAGCTGTACTGACACCGAAGGTTCTTTTATTTGTGAATGTAATAGTGGGTATTCTGGAAATGGATTTAATTGTTCGAGTAAGTAAATAGTTCATTCGTGTATCTAAAATGTTATACCTTTCTACTGATTACTTACTGTTTGTTATTTCTCTCATTTTTTTTAGACATTGATGAATGTTTGACTAACCCATGTCATGTAAATGCCAGCTGTATGGACAACGAAGGTTCTTTTGTTTGTCAATGTCACGCTGGGTATTCTGGAAATGGATTTAATTGTTCTAGTAAGTAATTCTTTCATTTGTGTGGCTACAATTTTTTACTGTTGCGGTAATAATGTATTGTTTGTTATTTTTATTATTTTCTCTAGACATTGATGAATGTTTGACCAACCCATGTCATGTCAATGCCAGCTGTATGGACAACGAAGGTTCTTTTGTTTGTCAGTGTCACGCTGGGTATTCTGGAAATGGATTTAATTGTTCTAGTAAGTAACTCCTTCATTTGTATGTCTACAATTTTGAACTGTTGCATTAATCATATTGTTTGTTATTTTTATTATTTTCTCTAGACATTGATGAATGTTTAACCAACCCATGTCATGTCAATGCCAGTTGTACTGACACCGAAGGTTCTTTTGTTTGTCAATGTAACAGTGGGTATTCTGGAAATGGATTTAATTGTTCCAGTAAGTAAATGTTTCATTCATGTATCTCAAATATTGTACCTTTCTATTAATCACTTATTGTTTGTTATTTCTATTATTTTTCTAGACATTGATGAATGTTTGACCAACCCATGTCATGTCAATGCCAGCTGTATGGACAACGAAGGTTTTTTTGTTTGTCAGTGTCACGCTGGGTATTCTGGAAATGGATTTAATTGTTCTAGTAAGTAACTCTTTCATTTGTTTTTTTCTCAAAAAACATGCCTGGCCACGGTGGGAATTGAACCTACGACCTTTGGAATACTAGCCCAATGCTCTCATACCAACAGAAAACATTCATGATTACTAGATTACATTGATATCGAAGGAACTAGACTCAGTTCCGAAATATCACATACTCGAACCGACCTGACCGCGTAGCTCAGTTGGTAGAGCATTGGGCTAGTATTCCAAAGGTCGAAGGTTCAATTCCCACCGTGGCCAGGCATGTTTTTCGGGCTTGCCTGGTGTGGATATACACTCAGAGTAACATCATAAGCATCTTTCATTTGTGTGTCTACAATTTTGAACTGCTGCGGTAATCATTTATTGTTTGTTATTTTTATTATTTCCTCTAGACATTAATGAATGTTTGACCAACCCATGTCATGTCAACGCCAGCTGTAGTGACACCGAAGGTTCCTTTGTTTGTGAATGTAATAGTGGGTACTCTGGAAATGGATTTAATTGTTCTAGTAAGTAATCTTTCATTCATGCATAAAGTGTTGTACCTTTCTACTAATCACATATTGTTTGTTATTTCTATTGTTTTTTTCTAGACATTGATGAATGCTTGACCATCCCATGCCATGGCAACGCCAGCTGTATAGACAACGAAGGTTCTTTTGTTTGTCATTGTAATAATGGGTATTCTGGAAATGGATTTAATTGTTCTAGTAAGTAAATATTTCATTCATGTATCTAAAATGTCGCACCTTTCTATTAATCACTCATTGTTCGTGATTTCTATTATTTTTCTAGACATTGATGAATGTTTGACCAACCCATGTCATGTCAATGCCAGCTGTACTGACACCGAAGGTTCTTTTGTTTGTGAATGTAATAGTGGGTATTCTGGAAATAGATTTAATTGTTCGAGTAAGTAAATAGTTCATTCGTGTATCTAAAATGTTATACCTTTCTACTGATTACTTACTGTTTGTTATTTCTCTCATTTTTTTTAGACATTGATGAATGTTTGACCAACCCATGTCATGTAAATGCCAGCTGTATGGACAACGAAGGTTCTTTTGTTTGTCAATGTCACGCTGGGTATTCTGGAAATGGATTTAATTGTTCTAGTAAGTAATTCTTTCATTTGTGTGGCTACAATTTTTTACTGTTGCGGTAATAATGTATTGTTTGTTATTTTTATTATTTTCTCTAGACATTGATGAATGTTTGAGCAACCCATGTCATGTCAATGCCAGCTGTATGGACAACGAAGGTTCTTTTGTTTGTCAGTGTCACGCTGGGTATTCTGGAAATGGATTTAATTGTTCTAGTAAGTAACTCCTTCATTTGTATGTCTACAATTTTGAACTGTTGCATTAATCATATTGTTTGTTATTTTTATTGTTTTCTCTAGACATTGATGAATGTTTAACCAACCCATGTCATGTCAATGCCAGTTGTACTGACACCGAAGGTTCTTTTGTTTGTCAATGTAACAGTGGGTATTCTGGAAATGGATTTAATTGTTCCAGTAAGTAAATAGTTCATTCATGTATCTCAAATATTGTACCTTTCTATTAATCACTTATTGTTTGTTATTTCTATTATTTTTCTAGACATTGATGAATGTTTGACCAACCCATGTCATGTCAATGCCAGCTGTATGGACAACGAAGGTTTTTTTGTTTGTCAGTGTCACGCTGGGTATATTGGAAATGGATTTAATTGTTCTAGTAAGTAACTCTTTCATTTGTTTTTTTCTAAAAAAACATGCCTGGCCACGATGGGAATTGAACCTACGACCTTTGGAATACTAGCCCAATGCTCTCATACCAACAGAAAAAATTCATGATTACTAGATTACATCGATATCGAAGGAACTAAACTCAGTTCCGAAATATCACATATTCGAACCGACCTGACCGCGTAGCTCAGTTGGTAGAGCATTGGGCTAGTATTCCAAAGGTCGAAGGTTCAATTCCCACCGTGGCCAGGCATGTTTTTCGGGCTTGCCTGGTGTGGATATACACTCAGAGTAACATCATAAGCATCTTTCATTTGTGTGTCTACAATTTTGAACTGCTGCGGTAATCATTTATTATTTGTTATTTTTATTATTTCCTCTAGACATTAATGAATGTTTGACCAACCCATGTCATGTCAACGCCAGCTGTAGTGACACCGAAGGTTCCTTTGTTTGTGAATGTAATAGTGGGTACTCTGGAAATGGATTTAATTGTTCTAGTAAGTAATCTTTCATTCATGCATAAAGTGTTGTACCTTTCTACTAATCACTTATTGTTTGTTATTTCTATTGTTTTTTTCTAGACATTGATGAATGCTTGACCATCCCATGCCATGGCAACGCCAGCTGTATAGACAACGAAGGTTCTTTTGTTTGTCATTGTAATAATGGGTATTCTGGAAATGGATTTAATTGTTCTAGTAAGTAAATATTTCATTCATGTATCTAAAATGTCGCACCTTTCTATTAATCACTCATTGTTCGTGATTTCTATTATTTTTCTAGACATTGATGAATGTTTGACCAATCCATGTCATGTCAATGCCAGCTGTACTGACACCGAAGGTTCTTTTGTTTGTCAATGTGATAGTGGGTATTCTGGAAATGGATTTAATTGTTCGAGTAAGTAAATAGTTCATTCGTGTATCTAAAATGTTATACCTTTCTACTGATTACTTACTGTTTGTTATTTCTCTCATTTTTTTAGACATTGATGAATGTTTGACCAACCCATGTCATGTAAATGCCAGCTGTATAAACAACGAAGGTTCTTTTGTTTGTCAATGTCACGCTGGGTATTCTGGAAATGGATTTAATTGTTCTAGTAAGTAATTCTTTCATTTGTGTGGCTACAATTTTTTACTGTTGCGGTAATAATTTATTGTTTGTTATTTTTATTATTTTCTCTAGACATTGATGAATGTTTGAGCAACCCATGTCATGTCAATGCCAGCTGTATGGACAACGAAGGTTCTTTTATTTGTCAGTGTCACGCTGGGTATTCTGGAAATGGATTTAATTGTTCTAGTAAGTAACTTCTTCATTTGTATGTCTACAATTTTGAACTGTTGCATTAATCATTTATTGTTTGTTATTTTTATTATTACCTCTAGACATTGAGGAATGTTTAACCAACCCATGTCATGTCAATTCCAGCTGTACTGACACTGAAGGTTCTTTTGTTTGTCAATGTAATAGTGGATATTCTGGAAATGGATTTAATTGTTCTAGTAAGTAAATCTTTCATTCATGTGTTTAAAGTTTTGTACCTTTTTAGTTGTATAGTAGGTACCGATCGATCCGGATTTTTGTGGTGGTGTGTGGTGGAGTGTGGTGGAGTGTGTTGGAGTGAGGGTGAGTGAGGGTTAGTGAGGTAATTAACATACCTCCACATTTTTGTGGTGGAGTGAGGGTGAGTGTGGGTACGTAATGGTGCTGAGGGTGCGCTAATTAATTAACATACATCCACTTAATATATGCAATGACGTCACGCAGGCAATATCAGGCAAGGTCGTACAAAACTTGCTGATTAGACATTTTTTAGCGTCCCTCCACGTGTGTGATACAATAGAGGGATTAATGTTGGCATAGCCTAGCTACAAAATTTTCCAAACATGCATTTGATCCAAGTACAGTCAATGGATAACATAGATACAATTTTTGATGAGTTGAAACGAAATGAAATTGATAAGCAAACTTTATCGTTTCATATAAATACAATGATCACTATAAAACCTCGAACAAGTCTACAGAGAGATCAATGTTACAATCTTTGGCCGTGATTATTGCCTATTTAACTTTCGTATGTTTACAAAATGGTAGCGAGGAATCTATTTGTCACAACGATATTTGTCACTTCGTATACCAAGCGAAGTAAGCACAGCACGTGTTACTATGCGTTGTTATGTTCGCTATTTGCATACACCTACGGTCATTAGACGACATTAGCGATAAGAAGCGTACAATGTACATCATAATAGGGATATTGAAGGATAATACCGGGCTATTATAAGCGTGGACGCAGAGCGCAGGTATAGAATAGGCAAAAGCACATGATTTCATTTTTAGAACACATTTATTTATTTAATACTAAAAAGTTAATAATTCTTGTCTGTATAAATATATTATCCACTTACGAGTTTTGTCCCGTTTTTGTTTCTAACTTTAACCGCTCCTTTGAACCATCATTCATTTCTGTATTGTCCACGTTCTTTGCAGATTTTGTATTTGATTTTGTTCTTTTCCTGGAGGATTTTGTTTGACGGATGGGTATATTCTTTATCCCGCTTTTATTCCACTTTGACTGCTTTTTACTGTTCCCAATTAATCTGTACAACTCTGTTAAAACATTTTCTAAGTCTAAAGCTGTTGGCTTAGCACGTATAAGATAAGGTTGTCTTTCTTGGGACGAAAGTTCATGAACGTCTGCCAAATGGTTTGCCAATCGTTTTGAAGCTCGCTTGCCGCAGATGGGACAATCTTTACACTTCTGAGGCATAATGTTAAATGATTTCCTAACATTAAATAGTTGTGGCCCCAAAGGCCTTTTTGGAGGTTTGCCGGGACTTGGGAGAGGGTTAGAGAAATGAGTTAGGGGGAAATAACTACCACACAGGATCGTATTTTATTTTATTTTTATAAATCAAACACAAACAACCATTAAGAGTCACTGTCACTAGGATACCATGTGTTTCTGAAAAGTCTTTTCAAAAGAAATTTGTCAATACTCTATCTAATACGGCCTCTTGTCAATAGCGGCCTCTAATGCTTCCCTGTGGTCGAAATTATTATCGTTGACAAAGACATCCCTGGTTTCCATAATCTTTTTGTGTATTGGATCCCTTTTTAGTTGTCTTATCCATAGTAGACGTTCCAGATAAATATTCTGCAAATCTTTACGAAGTTTTGGTAGGATAAGTAAGTAAGTAAGTATGCCTTGTCTTTAGCTTCGTTTTCGTCAAAACCTTCTGCAGTGAAATTCTGCGTTAGTTCTTCGAATTCCGATAAACTATGTTGGGCTGCTCCAGCTTTTAAAGGAGCTCATAAATCGCTTTCGTATTCATCACCTACTTCACTACTAGTATCATCTACATTATCAGAATCACTTTCTGACGCAGAATCAGTTTCCACTTCGTTGTCAGTGTTATACGAATTCTCAACATCACTCTCTGATGTAGGACTATCAGAGTCTGCAGCCGTTCTCATTCTTTTCATCTTTACATTGAAATATGTAGTAGGTTTCCAACAGTACTGTATTTCCTTCGTATATTGTTAGGTTGAAACAACTCCAACAACAACCAACCGGCGAATGATCAATTTTTTGAACAACATTACATTTTATGAAGTGGCCTTAAGGCACTTTTCTATGGCCTTGTGTCCCGATTGGCTGGGACACTTTCTACCAAGCCTCCCCACCAAAAGGATTCTAGAGAATCGGGCCACAAGGCCATAAAGAAGGCCCTTGGGGCCAATGCGAAAAGTGTCCCCAAGGGCCTTTTCTACGACCTTCTGGCCCGATAGGCTGGGATACTTCTCACCAAGAGGGTTCTAGAGAATCGGGCCACAAGGCCATAAAAAAGGCCCTTGAGGCCAATGCGAAAAACCCCGTTTACACTAGAGCGAAAGATTTCGGATTCGCAAAAGTTTCCGGATTTGATTGGAATTTGAGTTTTCGGATTTGTGGCGTTTACACTAAAGCGGTAACAAGAAAGTTATCGGATTCGTCCGTTTACACACAATCGGAATTTTCTCATTCTTGTTGTGCGTCTTTCAAGCAGAGGTCGAAGATCATCGCAGAGTTTTTCGAAGTTACAACGCGTCATCCGAAAGTTATCTTTCCAATCGCTATATAGACAAACACCGTTTAGCATATTGTCCCACCAAGAAGATGTTCTCCCTGGTTTTACCCAAAATCGTCGAGGTCTTGGGTTTTGCCACTTTCTTCGTTTTCGTACCAGTTTTGCAGAAATTAAAATAGCATTCTGCAATAACTTTCGCCTTCTTAAAAATATACCCGTGGCCATTACAAAATTTACAATACTTCTTTGTAATAGAATTAAACAACAAACCAAAGACAACAAAACAATAACGTTCCATGTTGGTTCTATGGTAAAACCGCAAACTCGTATATTCGCGGGCGAAAAAAGGTTGCGGATTAATTCAAATTTCCGTTTAGAACCATTTACACATAGAATTGTCTCGGATTAAAATGTTTTCGGATACAAAGTTTCTACTTTTTTTCCCGGATTCAAGGTTTTCGGATATATGTCCTACAACCGAGATGATTTTCCACCGGATTCGTCGCTGTATGTGTAAACGCATATATGAATCCAATGCCAAAACGTTTCGGTTTTGTGATGAATCCGGAATATTTCGCTCTAGTGTAAACGGGGTCTTAATCACTTTTTTAATCACTATTTTGTAGTTAAATAGTGATTAACTCTCAAGTAGGCGCTTCTTATTGGATGACGTTTCCACTTAATCATAGTTAACGTTAATCACTTTTTATACAACCGGCCCCAGACCTTTGTATTCCAGGAGACTTTGCACAACTTTACTCTTGTCTGAACGCTTGTTTCATTGACTTAAGTTTATAATGCTATGGGCATGTATAAACTTGCTTAAATTTGTACAATACAACGCACAAGTCGTTGGGGCAAACGAATCCGGTTTAGTTTTCGTTGCAAATTAAAAGCTTAAAAGTAAAATATTATAGTAAAATATCAAAGTATTTTTAGCGTTTTTACTGTGACTGCGAATTCATTGATATTGGCTCTCTGCCATAGAAATAATAGGGAGCTTTAGATTTGACTACGAGTACGACTACGAGTACGAGATTTGATCGCGTGCGAGGAAATTACCGTAGCCGTTTTCGTTTCCATTCAAATGTTGCTTTTATAACAGTAAATCAACAACTAGAGAAAAAGTTTCTTAAACTAAATCTCCTGTCGACTAAAATCCCCTACAAAACGTGTAAATAAATCATAACATTAAAAATAGGCCAGATATTTAGTACTAATATATTATTTGCGCCGGATAAACGCTATATAAATGCTACAAATTATTTTTGGAAACAAAAAAAGCCAACTTTCTTTGTTTTTTTTTGAAAAGTCGTCGTGAGGACTACGAGGTTTCTCCACAATTTCGTACTCAGATGGGCGACGGCTACGACTTTTTAGCGTCAGTACGGGATGGCGTAAGCATGCAGCATGCGTTTAGCTTGACGAATCTCGTAGTCGTAGTCGTACTCGTAGTCAAATCTAAAGCCCGTTCTCCACTAGGCGAATTTATTCGCGCGACGCGAAGCGAAAACCGAAATCCGGCAACGTGATTGGTCGGCGAAAAAATTCGCGGCGAAAAAGTAGGATCGCTTCCTACTTTTTATCTGTTCGTGCGAATAAATTCGCCTAGTGGAGAACGGGCTTAAAGCTCCCTAAATAATAGACATAGAATGCGCGCTGATGACGAATCATGTCTCCACTTTTTCACCGTGCGTGCCCTTTTGAATGCGCCATTTTGAATTTTGGCCAGGAGTGCAAACTACAAAGTATAAACAAAGCTAAAACTACGTTTTCTTCGTCAAAACGTTTTGTCTTGTTGTCTAATTTGTAGTTTGGGGATAGATTTTCGGTTCCTTGAAGGCACAAGCTGTCAAAGCAAAATGTGCAGTTATAAAACGGTGAAAATCGTGCAGCCTTTTAAAAACAAAGTAGATTCGCGAAAATATAATTTACTCATAAAACATTTTTGCATGATCTAAATGTAACTGTTTTGCTAATATCTTATAAGATTACAAAATGATAGTTCTTTCTTCGTCGGGTTTCGTTTTTCTTCAAAGTGTTTTCATGTTCTTGAAACAAAAATATTTAGTTGTCGATAAACTGTATATTGCCTAAAAATAATCGTTGAAAACTATGGTTTCAAAAGCGTTGCCTCAAGCTCAAGCAACGTAGAAAAATATGAAATATAATTGTGTAAGTTTAAAAAGATTATTGAACTCCATTTATATTATAAAAGAGTTGAAATATTTGTAGAACATACCTATTGAGTTTGTCTTGATCTTTCGTGTTTTGTTTTGGCTTGCACAACAACATCAGTAACATTGAAAATTTATTTTTAAACGATGATTTCTGCATATATTCTGTTCAGAACTATTGCTTTTCGTAAAAAAAAAAACGCACTGGAATGGGTTTTTAGACACTTTTTCTTAGTTTATCAAACTTTTTTCCATTTTAAGTCCCGATATAAAATTTTTTGCAAACTTTTCAGTTGAAAAAAACAATTCGCACTCCCTGCAACCGCGCGAAATTAAATTCCTTGCCTCAGGAGTCTGGAACCAACCAAAATGCCCTTTTCAATGCGCCATTTTGTGGAGATAAATTTTTTACTGAGAAAAGATAGGAGCACGCATTCTATGTCTATTATTTCTATGCTCTCTGCGCATTCAATATCTTGATACTTTTGATTGAACTTTAAGGTCAACTGTTTTAGTTCTTTTAATTCTTTCTTCTCTATGCTCGACGTTGTGGACATCTATATAGTACAGAAAACACTAGGTTATTAATGTTTCAAAAACTTTTGGGGTAAAGTCCAATTAAGTGTAATGAATAAATAAACAAGCAGAGGGTTTATTCGTTTCCCATGTATTTTCTTCTTGAATTTTTAATGAGTTTTATAAGTAAATTAAACTAATCAAAACCACAGGTTAAATTTTAACCCAAATTTAGCTTCGAACAACCAGCCCCTAGAGCTTATTATTGTGTTACTTTCAAGTTAACAAAATCTTGATGATGGTATGACTATTTATTCCATTATCTCACCATGGGTTACTAGAGCAATGCATACTGTTCAGTTCATATTCGACAAGAGATTAATTGAAGCATTGTGTAGATGTCTGAACAAAAAGGTCTCCCTCATAAATCACATTCGAAGAAGCTCACCTGAGGTTGACTCTAAACACTGAACACTGCTTTGCATTTTCTCTGGTCGTAGTATGTAAAGATTAGTTTGTGTTAGTTTATAATTTTCTTTTTCGATTTCAAAATTAAGGCTTATCTCTTGCTTATAGACATCAACGAATGCACTTTTGGCACTGACAACTGTCAGGAGAACGCCACGTGTACAGATACCATTGGTTCGTGGACATGCCAATGTAATGTTGGATTCACCGGCAATGGGGTTTCTTGTACAGGTAAAGTAATTTACAAAATATCTTTTTTATTAACTAACTTTAATGGATATGACTTCGCTTCGCAATTTATACGTTAACCTTAAAGAAACTAATTTGTTAAAATTTGAAATATTTCCTTTATTTTCCCATTTCATATTGTCTTTTATTTCGACACGTGATTAAACCAAAAAGATCTAAAAGTCATTAAAGTCTTTATATCCAGTCCTTTTTTTCTCTTCTTAGACATTGATGAATGTGCCCTGGGTATCGACTTGTGTAGTGATGATGGTATTTGTGACAACAACATGGGAAGTTATACTTGCAGATGTAAAGCTGGTTTCAGTGGAGATGGAAGGACTTGCCAGGGTATTGTTTTAATTTTTTATAACGTTTAATGTAACGGCTAACAAAATATTTAGTCTGAAATATTTCACTATACAGAGTCAGGAAAATCTCGGAAATTTCAGGTTTTACAATGTAGCACTGTCAGGTATAGCTGTGTTGTGCTTATTTAATCTAAATTACTCCTGGTTTTATTTTGAAGATATCGACGAATGCAACTCTGGATTACATAATTGTCACGCGTTTGCCACATGTTCCAACAGCTTTGGAGGATTCAATTGCCAGTGTAGAACAGGATATGCGGGGAACGGAACTTTCTGTCGAGGTGAGGTGGGATGAGGGGCAATTTGAAGATGCATGTTAACAACAAAACGATTATTTGAAACCTGAAATATTGATTTTTAATATGCATATTCACTTGTTAATGAACATCATAGATAGTATATATGAACATCATATATAGTATGATTCTACTAATAAATAATAGTGTATTAGTGTTTGATAAACATTGGAAAAAATTACCGTCAATAATTTCATTTTCGCCGGCATTATCGGTGGAAATTGCTTTTTGCAAATGGCGGAAATTGCGAGGACTGTAATTATGTAGCTGGCATTTGTTGTTAATGTTGTTCTTGTTGCTGTTGTTATTTTACGACGATGATGATGATGCGCTGTTTTTGTTGCTTTGCCGATGTTTCTGTTCTCTTCAGTTGTCCTTGTTTATGTTACTGGTCTTGCCTATATGGTGATGGTAATGTTGTCGTATATGCACATGTATATAAGTAACAGTTTTTGTCATGTTTTATATAGACATCGATGAATGTACGGACAACACCGATAACTGTCATGTAAAGGCAACTTGCACGAATACGATTGGTAGCTACACCTGTCAATGTATCACGGGTAATGAAGGGAATGGCACCCATTGTGTTGGTAAGTTATATAGCTTAACAATGTAACATGAACAGAACAGAATAGATCTAGGCTTTTCTTGGTAAATGACGGCTAAACACTGTAATATTTAACAATCACAGAACTATAGATGTATTAGAACAGAACAGAGTGCTGGCAAGGGACAAAACTACATTTACTTTTACAAAAGCTCTTATTCTTAAGGGACTGGTCATTATTTATGACCGGGGGGCACTGAGGAGAAACATTTTCTTGGCCAAATTTTTTAGTGACCCAACCTTCAAAAAAAATTTTTTCTCTACACGACCCCAGCACTTATTCAAAAATCTTAGACCCACCCAAACTTAATTTTGTCAATTTACTTATTTAAAAGCTAAATTGATTTATTTGAGTTTTTGAGAGAACAAAAAAGCCAACAAGTATGAACTCCGTCACTTTATCATGACTGTTATGGCAGGTTGAAATGGAATACTTTGCAAATCGATATATAAAGTAAATATTTATTCGATCTTAATAAAACAAATAATACAAATATTTTAGTATTTTCCGACTTAATGATTTTTACTTTACCCACCCCTTGGCTTGGTGAATTTCTATTCAATCCACCCACTTCCACCCATAAAATTTTGTTTACCCACCCATTTTCTCTTCGCCCCCCTCCGCTATAAATAGTGACCGGTCCCGAATAGACATTCTTAGACTACCAGTGAACTCAATTTACTTTACTGATAAAAGACAAAGAGTTCACTTCAATCTGCACATTCAAAGGTTCAGAGGAATTCGGATCGCTATGTCAAAATTAGCACGGTTCGTACTTCTGTTACACGCGTGTTTAAACATTGTTTTGAACATATGCCGTGTTCGAATATTGCCCAAACCAGAGTTTTCGGACAAAACCCAAAATTTTCCATGATACTTATACTTCCAAGCCTGTCGACAGCTGTATAAATTTTCGCAAAAGTTATGACTGCACATGCTATACTGATGCATTCCTTAGATGTTTATTTATGCAATATATTTTGTTAGAATTAACCTTCTGCCAAAATTAATGACCAGAAAAATGAATTACGTAAAATTATGTAAAATAAAATTATGTAAAATATTACATAGTGCGACAGTTGAGGTATGTGTGTATAGAATACTGAAATTTTGTGATGATCATTATTGTATCCATAAAAGTTTTATCCATTCTTTTTAGACATTAATGAGTGTATAAGAAATACAGACAATTGCCACGCCAACGCCTTATGTACCAACTTTGACGGATCATTCCAGTGTACTTGCTTAACAGGATATGCTGGAAACGGAGTTATTTGTGTTGGTATGGAACCTTAAATTAATAATTTATTGCTGTTATTCTGTTTATTTCAAATGCTGTATTTGTGAAGTGAACATTGACTAATTGAAGAATAATAGTTCTTTGAAGACCTTTGTGCTAAAATGGTGGGGATTTGATCAATGAGTTTGTCCCGTGGGTCGGGAATTTGACAAGTACGTTTTTCTTAGTGGCCAGAGGGTGGGGATTTTTGACAGGTTAGTACTGATCTCAAACAAAATACTGAATAGAAACCTGTATTGAATTAAATGAATTTTTGAGCATGTGGAGGATTGAACACCAGTTCATCACTCGCTCTTGCTTAATAATTATTGTTTTACCTAAAATATGGAGATATCCCGACAAGAATAATAAGAATCCATCGCCTTAATTAGTAAAACATGTGCATCTGTTCTTTTATATAACTGTGGCTGTTTCATTTGGAATAATCGTCTTTCGGTCTATATCAAAGCTACACAGGATCAACTTCAACATTGTCATTAAAAAATAGAGTGCATCAGGAATAAAATTCCATCCCGGGGATGGGGACTTTTCCCTGGAATTTTGTTCCGCTGAAGTGGCATTTGACATTTTTTAACGAAAAAAATTCGGCATGGCTTTGGTGAGTGGCCATGTGGGTGTGCAGGAATGGTTGTGGCTGGTTGGGTTCAAATATGCCATCTGGCTGATACCTCAGTTGGTAGAGCGATGGGCTTGTAACCCAGAGATCACCGGTTCGTATATATATATATATATATACTGTATATATATATATATATACAGGGTGTATCAAAATAAACGCAATTCATCTTTTGTGCTTAATAACTTTCGAAATACTATTTCTAGTTAAACGCTTTTAGGCTTACTTCAAAGCCTGTTCTTTTCTCTTTCAAACAAACTATTATCCTTGTCTCCAATGCTAGTAATAATTGCACAGGAAAAGATTTAGTAAACCTATCATTTTTAGTTGCTGTTTAATTATGCAAGTTTACTATGTTATTGTTTAGTCGGTTTAAATGTTAGAATTTTCTTCTTTAAACTTTAATGTTGTCGTCACTACATTTGGAAAACCACGTAAGAACAAATTTAAAGTATTTTAAAAGAGACCAGGTTGTTTAAAAATCCTAAACGAATGCTAAAAATCGTCAAAACATTCTGGTGTCTGCATGAGCCAGAGTATCATCGAATTGCGATGTAATGTAAACAGAAATTATAGCAAGTTGATGTCAGACAGCTTGGATGGTCCAAGCAGTGGCGTGCTGGCAGGGGGGGGGGGGG